ATTGCCATTGTAGGCTGCTCAAAGGGCAGTGGCTCTTGGACCGGGGTCCTGCCATCACCTGGGAATAAATGATCAAGGACTGACAGCTCTCCGTATTCTTTTGCTTCCAAAAAGCTCATCTCCGGATCCAATGACAGCAGCCCTTGCTTCTTACCCCATCCCCCTCCACCACTCATAACACGGTGAAGTTTGCCACCGGTCTGGATTGATTGGACGAGGCGATCCTGAGTAGAAGTTCCGCTGAGTACAACGTCGGTACCCGGCTTCTCGACCAGGGCCCAAACAGAGACCCTCTGTTCAGCAATGTTGTGTTCTGCAATGTAACGGGGAAGCTCCTTCTCCAGTTCAGATGAAGCTGGCATCGGTTCGTTCGAGCTGCCATCAGCGTGCTTCGCAACTTGACGGAGAATATTGCCCATGCTAGAAATGACTGTTCTTCTCTGACCGACAGGATACAACGGAACTCCACAAGAGGTTTGCAGACTCCTTGCAAAATTCGTTATTACACAGCTCGACAAGGAGACTGACTGGTCTATGACGTATTTGCTTGCTGAAGAATCGTAAACCCAGCGTGTTCCGAGAAGAGTATTGTCGTTACCATTGACAAAAATGGTGTTGGCGAGTCGCAAACCAACCTCATGAACGGTCCTGCGAGTCTGATCAGATATACTCGGAAGACTGGTCTCAATCGAGAACAAAAGGGCGGCCTCCTCTGTTCCCATTGTTCTGGCCCGGCGGGGCGCAGCAGCTTTTGCATTTATATCCTTTGCCTGCGCGATCGTGACTGTCAATCCTTCGGAGTCTGATATGACTCCGTCGGAGTTTTTCGGTGGACGTGCATCTGGTATCCTATCGACCACAGCAAGGATAGCGTGGATGGGACCTGGAGAAGCCAATGTTGTAGGTATCTGGTAAAGTCTGTTCATCCACTGTTCGAGGAATTGGCTGTCGGGATTTATCCACTGAGCGAAAGAGGGAGTGGCGAGAAGGACCGGAACATTTCCTGTTTCTGCTAGCGATGAGGACGGAGGTAAGCTCGAAAGCACGTCGTCTGGAGTCTCTTGACTGTTTAGCTAGCTGCTCCAAGGAGGAGAGCGAGAGCACTCACGATCTGCTCGGGTGTCTTTGTGAGCCATGTGTAGGCGAAGGGTAAATGATCAGGGGCTGCTGTGCTTGTAGTCTGAAACCATCTTCTTGCTGTGCCGTTGTGTAGGTGATATGGGCTTTCCCTCCCTTGTACTTGACAGCATCTGCGAACCTGCTGGAGGGGGACTGACTTGATTGCCCGCTGCGTCGACATGGAGAGCGGGACGTACCCGAGTCTCATCGCCATGAAAGCATGGACAAGGATGACCAGTAGATGTGCAAGAAAGTTGAGCTGGCGAGAGAAGTGCCCAGTTGATAAATTTGATAATTTCTGTATGCGGAGAACATCTTGCGCAGTTTAACAGATCTTTCCCGCACGCCAAGACATGATACCCTGTAGATACAAAGGGTGAGAATGGCGAGGTAGAATTGGCACGTCTATCATCATTTGCATATCATTCATCTGGAGCATATATGTGAGCGCTGATCCTACGTCCTCCTTCTATCTAGTATTGTGAGCTCTTCCTATTTCCTCTCCATTTGCCATGCCGAGCGCACCAAGGCCCCGAGCATGAAGCAGACTCCCAAGGGACAAGATAACTATTGAAGTCAACTGATGAGGGCTCAATTGATCCTATATAGATATTGGCCGTCGGTAGAACTGCTAGTATTCTAGGAGTGAGTTTATGACATCTTTCTCGCTTCAAGTACCTCTCTCGAGCGAACGAAAAATCTGGGAGATAGATCTCGAACTAAGGACAGTCCTGACATAGGTCCAGGCAACAGGAATAAAACCACACTGCCACATAGAGATAAGGTAGAGTACTCCGTAGGTACCGAGTAATAGTATTTCAATTAAAGAGCGTCATGTGGCTAATATTCTCAGCCACCTTTATGATGGAATAAGCATAACTTGCAGTCACACGTAGCATCAACGCAAAAGGCGCCCGACGGATCCTCTTTCTTCTTTTACGATATTCCACTAAGCCGTGTTTCCTAAGCCCAATTTTCAACCCTAAGAGATCGCCAGCCTTACCAGATTAAGGTACCTAATTTGAAGGACTTAGGGAAGGGTTCTAAGTAGGTACCGTTCTAGGCAGCGGAATATCAAATCGTCAACGGCAGCCATCCACCAATCGAGTCAGTCTGGACGGACATGAGCCACAGGTGGGCGGTAAAAGCATGACGTAATGCTCAGCTTGCAAAAGGGATGATGTATGTATGGGCTTGGTATGAGGCTATGGGATACTCAGCACCCAAATGTTGCGTTGGAAAAAAGAGAAAAAAAAGGTAAGTTCGTATTAAGATTATCTCTGACATGGAAGATAACAATTTTAATGAATTAATTGATAAAAATAGACGTCTATCGATTCCATATGTAGCAAAAGTAACGCAAGGCAAAGACAAGATTGACTGACGTTAGTGGAGGTACCTAGGTAGGTAAGGTACCTCAAGCAAGTCCTGAGGTTGCACTACCCTATGTGTTGCCGATGATTTAAGAAGCAGCTTCCGCCCTGTTCCTTGCCAACCCTTTCCCCATCATTACTATTGCTGTCACCTTTCTGAAATTACCTCTTCATCACCTCCTCAAATATCCATCATATTACTCCTTCGATATCTTCCCTTGTCACCCTACAGACCACTAAATCAAGATGCCTTTCACTGCTTCGTAAGCTTCTCCCCTTGTTCCTTTCTTGCTGGTCTACGGCCATTGGTGGTACTCGCCCATGATGAGCGAACTTCAGCACTAAAAAAATACACTGAGGGCGAAGAAGGTGCTAATTGTTCTCTCGCTTTACAGAGACATTTGCAAGATCCTGTTTGCGATCATCCTGCCTCCTCTGGGTGTTTTCCTTGAGCGAGGATGTGGTGCTGATCTTCTGATCAACATCTGTCTGACCATCTTGGGTTGGATTCCCGGTATCATTCACGCCTTGTATGTACTAAACTGTTTTTGTGGTTGCCTAGCTTCCAGAGCTAACCGAAGTTCGCAGCTACATCATATTCAAGTATTAGGGCGCGCTCCACCACTAGTCGACCACCTTCATCCCGTTTGAGTTTATCTACCGAAAATCGCAAACGAAAATCCATCTCGCTTCATCCTGTCAGCTTTTATGAATCCTGGATGCGAAAGAGAATGCGATGTCTATTGATACACTACGGATGATCAAACAGCGGTGTCGTCAACAGGTTCCGTGGAGCGCCGGTCGAGATTAGCCCCACTAGTCTTGGCAGTTGCTGCTCAAATGCTGAGACTTGATCGTGCCATACCACCTTAATTATTGCAATACGGCCTAATATCTTCTGCTCTATCCCGTTATCTCCATTATTGCTCTGCGCTATGTTTCTTGTCTTCAACTCGGATGATACCAGCTCATTTCTCCCAGTGGGCTTCTGCTCTTGGTTTGTTATCGGTGATTTCACGTGATCATGGCAATGACATAAATTATCGACCTACAAATATTTGTTCAATAACGAGTTTAAACGCACAATCAGTTGTTTCCAATTTTCTAAAGTCTTTGTAGGTGTTATCTCCCATTCCATGGACAAGTAACGGAAGATGGCAACCACTTCAGCTATAAACACGCTATTGGTCTCTCAAAATTTAAAGTAGATTCAGGTCCTCCTGGTACGAAAGCATAAGATAGCACAACGCCAGGTCAAGGTGCCGCCCAGTATCGCCAATAGATTTGCGCGGCACTGACTGCAGTATACAGTCAGAAGATCATAATTTCCACTGAATCTTGTCTACGTAGATCTGCCAAAGTCCTACTAAAATCAGGCAACGTCCACTTAACCGTCTACTTTGACCCTAGGACTCCTTGAGCAGTTGGTCGCTCTTCCAGCCAAGATGCGAACATTTGGCACATCCTGGATCAACAGTAGCTGCGGTTTCCTCGCTGTCAAAGTTGCTACCTGATTACCGTTCCGTTGATACTTATACACCCTTCCTCGAATGACTCGCTCATTAATCAGAGGCCATAACACTGTGAGTTCAGGAGGATCCAATTCTTCTGGCAGTAACTTGCAAGGCCGCCATGTGGATAGTATTTGGCGTCGACTTATTCAAACCTTACTTAGGAACAAGCACTCAGCAATTCGCGGACGATTGGTTGCATATCTTCTTCACCCTCGCTGCGAGGTACCTTTCTGATAATCTTCCGTCTAAACGATGGGCCATGGGACTATGAAGAAAAAGTTACCAGAGAAACGATGCATCCTTACTGGACAATATATGGGGGCGCCAAACTACAAAGGGCAAAACTAACTCCAAGAGGAAATTCCGAGGTACTTGCATTAACAGCGCCAACACGGCGCGTATTCAGCCAGTCCCTCAACCTTTCTCCTACCACAGCGCCAGCTTTTGCTCATGCTGTCTCAGACATATCTTTCACGGATTAGACATGGCGTCAACTGTGTCTCATTTTCCATTAGAGCGCCTACAGACGCTCAGCCTCGCTGTCTTGTTTCACATATCGGGCTTCTCTGATGTGTAGCCAGTCAGCACCATGGCGAAAGCAGGCGACTTTCCCATTTGACGCCGGCAACAGCGTCAGCAGGATGAGAAAGTGAGATGAACTGTAATGATGGCATCCATTTTACGCGCCATGCGGCCTTCGATCCTTCTTCTCTTTCTTTTTCCGTTTGCTTAACTCCAGATTCTTCAGCATCGGACTCATGAGCACCAGGCTCTTCCGTTTTTTTGTGTGCTGAGGCATCTGAGAATGAAGCTACATCTTTACTCATGACTTCTGGGGTGTTAGTTCCTTTGCAGTGCGATTATCAAGGTGAGGATCGGTATGTCCAGCCGTCCCCATTCTTCAGATTCCTCTTGCAAACCCATATTCTTCACCGAAAAGGTTTCGTCAATCTGAATGCCTAAGTGGTCTGACCGGATTCAGGAATGTTACAACATGCTCCTCACCTTAGTTCGACGGAGCTTTGTCGCAGCGATCTCGTGCATATCATCATGTGTGGCACATGGCTCCCGTCACTTTCGACGTACGGCGTCCGTGGCCTCCTCGCCGCTCGAGTCTATTCCAGGATGTGCTTTGAGCTGCGTCAAAATCTTCATAGAATCGGATTACCCAACGAACGCGTGCGCCAGCCTAGTCCTAGACTGCCTTTGCAGGACGAACACGAGGAGTGGTTATACCCTAGGCGAGGCAGCTTTGCGCTGCAACCTGTCCTTCTGTCCCATGGCTGTGACCGAGAGCTCCGATGTCTATAACATCTGTGACTCGGTAGCTGGCGCCGTTCTAAAGACACATGCTACCATAACCGCCACAGTCATGTCCACTATCTACCCGACAACAGAGGTAACCGCAACAACATCACCATCAACATTGTTGACGACATCAACCACAACAATGACCACAACAGATACCAAGGCTACTACATCGAGCTCTACATCATCCACGCTTGCCAGCTTTGAAACCCCTTTGACAGTAACGCACATCGAACAAACATCCCCAAGGACTACTAGCGATCAACCAGCATCGTCCAGCTCGACTGCTACAAGTAGCGGCAGCGGCCTCAATGCCGGTGCAGTAATTGGTGTTTCGGTCACGTCTGGAGTTGCTGGATTCTTCATTCTCGGGGTTATAATATTCTTCTGCTGCAGGAGGATACGGCGTCAGCATGAGAAAATCAAAGATCGAGATTTCTTCGAGATTGGAGGTGTCATGTCGGAACCTCCAGACTTTGGCTTGCCGCTTCCTCGACGTCCAATTCTAGGGCCACCCAATCCTTTTTTTAGTGCGGGAAGCCAGCAATCCAACTCCGAGACAGCGAGGTTAATGTCGCCATTCAAGCCGGCAACCCGGAATCCAGCAGTCGTGGTTACGGGCCCTGATGATTATCATTTTGCATATGATGGTCCAGACAGGATCGGTTTTGCGGTGTCAACGAATTCCGAATTTGGCGCTTCCCCAAGTCAGACCTCAGAGCGCACGGTTTCCGATTTATTACCGGATAAGCCCAACATGAACCTATATCCAAAGCCACTAAGATGGAGCAGCCACAAGCCCTCGAGACACATGAGCAGTGACACATTGTTCGAAGAGGATGCAGTGAGACCTCGAAGCCTTCTTGGGTCTTCGAGCCAAAACAAGGGTTCCATGGGTGGAACAAGCGGACACAATGGCAGCCAGCAGTATAGGCCAACAATGGGATTACCATCTAACCCACGCGCAATGTTATATGGAATGGGAAACGCGCCGTTATCCAAAAAGAACGTTGGGTATGGAGCGAAGCCGGTCTTCGCCAATACTGGAGAAAGGATTGCGCACTACCAACAAGCAGAAATCTGCAATGATCCACGCTGGTATGCGGAGGCCCAAATGCCGGATCAGCAAGATTACATAGACAGTCAATGGTTAAATCCACGCACAGGATACGGTCAGAGTGATGGGCGGCAATCAACTCGTGGAGCTGCACGTCGGTCAGTCGAGCTTGTAACGCACGATGATCTCGTAAAAGCCCCAACAGACGGCTTCGAGACCATCAGCCTCAATGACCGCTCGGAGCTCCGTCGAAAGTCTCGACATTCTGGCGACTTCAAGCCACTCACTCCAGTAAGGGAGGTGGTCACACCGTCAGTTAACGCTGGCAAGAACGATGGTGGCGGCTACTTTGGGAACGGTGCTACTGTGCCGAATCCCAGAATGCCCTTCTCCGCAGCTCCTCCTGTGCAGGAGATCATCTCCCGACCTCGGATTGTACGAGGTGATGACATTAAACGAGTGCAGATTCGCAAGGGCAAGCCGCAACCCCACGCCCTGAGAATCCCATATTCTCCCGAGGACGGCTGGCTAGAGACCCGCGGTTCTGAAACTCAGTACTCTGACCACGAGCCCAAGAAACTCCCTGTTGACCCCAGCTTTCCAGTGGAGAGTATGGCACCTGCTACGCCGCGGAGGAAACCAGTGTCCTGGGGCCGCAACCTGACACCGGCACGGCGAGGCTCTGACCTAATTTTGCGCGTGGACTAGATGCTCTTTCCGTTTCCCTTTTCTTATTAAAGTCGAAGCGTTATGACTGTATCCACTTACTACACGCATTCCCATAAGAGCTTTGAACTTTCAGTATATATGCTGATAATACCCTGTAACATATCATCACATCACACATGCTTGCTCGCTTACTGCTTCTTCTCTATCATCATCTTCATGTGTCCGAAATGAAATAGGACTGGGCGGCTGGTTCCGTTCTGAGGAGGGGCACTGAATCATGTTCCAGGAACTTGCACGTTCTTGATGAAACCTTTTTCTTTCCTTACTCTCTTAGTGTAACAAAGTATCAGATGATAGATTGAAAAGCATCAATCCGGAATCATGAGCTGGATCTCAAATGACTATCCTCAGACCACAAACATTGAAAAGCGATGTCGACTCATGCAACGATACCCTAACCACCAGGTGCTGAGGCATATGTATAATATCCAGAGCCCCGATGCAGAGAGTGACCAACAACCCTAACACAAAATCATTCACCGAATTTTCATTCGGAGTCAGTCTGTGATATAGGTTTACCTGGGAATACATCATCATACGATAAATCCTAAACATAGGACGTAACAGGTGCTTGTCCTCGTCCAATCCAGAGGCGCCACCACATGCAAAGGGGGAACTGTGGCTGAGAGAAAGAATGTATACCTCCGCCTAGGTACTCCCTACTTGTACCTGAATTACCAATCGTACTGCTCTGCAGGTCTCCATCAGAAGACGGCTGTTGTTTCGTTTGGGGATGCTCTCTGCATGTCTATACCGAAACATCTCAGGTATCAACGAGATGAACAATATTAGATACATTCTTGCCTGTATACCTATTGAGAGTGTATAAGAAGTGTAAAGTACGGTTGGTCCGTATAGTCCGTACCCCGCCTCCCTATCGTAAGTACAGATACCTCTGGATACCTTAGATATGGGTGATACTTCGGAGGCGAGCGCCCCGCCGACATGACGTCACTGCATGGGACGATCTCAAATTACTAAATTGTGCTCGGACGACGACGATGATGATAAGCTATGGTGACTGCAGACGACGAATAATTAAATCTCTCACTGAGTCAGTCTTACCTCGAACTTAATATAGCATGGTTCTTGTTATCTAGGGCGGGATGCTGCCAATGGAGGGATACCTCTCTGCGGACTCGGCGCGAGTATAGACGGAACGGAATGCAGTGTCACCGCGGGAGGTAGGAGTGAGGTAAAGGACCAATGTACTTAGCTTATCCCTAGGGAAGGACCATTATTATGGAGTAAGGTAGGATCAATATCGGCAGGGATGTGTTTGTTATGGAGGCTGATGCCAATCAGAAGTTTCTTTGTTCGAAGTCTCTGACCCACTTCCGTAATCGTGCTTGGCTTACGAGGAGGGCGGTTGCGTTTCTCTTGATCTCACAGGTCTCTTCTCTAAATAGTGCGCATAGTTGAGACAAGGAAAGCATACACTATCCCGTAGAGGTAATTACTCTTAAGCTCATCCATAATAATAATAGGATGGAAATAGTCACCTACCGTAGTAGAAGCAAAGAGGCTCCACTTGTAACTTTACTGCAGGCCGACTCGTATCCCCCTCTGACTGCGACAAACCCATTGTCCGTATATACTTGAAATGAATCAGATCTCACACTCATTTTCAGGTGAATAATGATGGGCGAGTCTGAACCAAGGTAGACGCATCCTGACTAACTCCCACCTAGAAATGAAGGTTGAGTTTAAGAACGGTTGCGAATTATCTTCTACCCAGCCGTTTCGGATGGCGCAGAAATGGAGGCAAAGTCTGGGGCCCAGTGGAGACCGTCATCCTCGAGTATGGGCGGCATTACATTGCAACAACAAATAACAATGCTCATGCTTCACCGCGATTGCACCAGATCGATTGAGCCATCCATCCACGGTGGATAACGCAACCACGGACTGCATCATCGGTGTTCGCTTGGGTTCTGATCCAAGCATCTGTCCTCCACTCTGCCTCCCTCGAGTCCTCGACACTTGTATATTAATGGGCCTTGATGTCCATCTTCAGCTCGTTGCTCCATCATCTTGCTCCCCATCCCCACACCTAGCACTTTGGTTCCAGCCCTCTTTCCTACATCTGTACCACTGGTATAAGTCGGATACTGCTCCGCTTATCCCCACAGTCTCATCTCCGCACAGCGGAATCAGTTTCCTTCACTCTCCATTTATTTTGACATACTCCTCACCAGATTCGATTCCTTGAGAGAAGATTGCCTTGGTGATCAGTCTCATCGTCCACACCCCTCAGGCCCCCCTGTTCTGCAGTGTAGTTGACTCCCTAGTCTACCAATCCATCATCGCCACCCGGTCTGATCCCCACCACATTTCCCCAATCTCCTCAAGACTCGTCCAAAAATGGCTGCGACCTACGGCTCCGGCTCCCAGAGGGTGCGCCGGCTTTCCAGCATCGATGCGACTCGGGCCGACCTGTATGGCGGACCTAACGTCGTCGTGCCCCCGAAGCATCTGATGGCCTCCAGCGATGCCCATGACACGGCCATTGAGATGGCGATGGCAAAGCAGCACCTGGATGAAGAAGTTTCCTCGGAGGAAGAGTCTCCTCGTGTCGCCTCACCCCTCACAAGGACTACCCGTAATCTCACGACAGCTGATGAATTCGCTCTGGCATTTGACATCGATGGTGTCCTCATCAGAGGAGGTCAGGCTATCCCCGAGGCTGTCGATGCGTTGAAGTATATCAACGGCCAGAACCCGTACGGCGTCAAGATGTACGTTTTTCTTCCCGATAAGCCTTCAACACATCATAGTTTACTAACTCCATAATCTAGTCCCTACATCTTCGTAACGAATGGTGGAGGCAAGACCGAAGAGGAACGGTGTCTGGATCTCAGCCGGCAGCTCGAATTGGAGGTCTCACCCGGCCAGTTCATCTGCGGACACACTCCCATGCGAGAGATGGCCGAGAAATACCAGACAGTCCTTGTGGTCGGCGGCGAGGGTGAGAAGTGCCGGATCGTAGCCGAAGGTTACGGCTTCAAGGACGTCATCACCCCAGGCGACATCATCAAGACACGACAGGATACGACACCATTCCGAAAGCTGACTGAAGAAGAATACAACAACTCACGCGTCCGCGACTTCAGCAAGACGCCCATCGAGGCCATCTTCGTCTTCGCCGACAGCCGGGACTGGGCTGGGGACCAGCAGATCATCCTCGACGTCCTCATGTCGAAGAACGGATACCTAGGCACCCGCTCGGAGACATTTGACGAGGGCCCCCCATCTTCTTCTCCCACAACGATGTCGTCTGGTCCACCTCCCACGAGCACGTCCGCATCGGCATGGGTGCTCTCAGAGCCTCGCTCGAGGCCCTCTACAAGGCCGTCACTGGCAAGGAACTGACCACCGTCGCATTCGGCAAGCCCCAGCTCGGCACGTACCAGTTCGCCACCCGCCTCCTCCGCCAATGGCGCAAGGATACCCACGGCATCGACAAGGCCCCTTCCACCGTCTACTTCGTCGGAGACACCCCGAGTCCGACATCCGTGGCACCAACGACTTCGACCGCATAAGCGATTGCAACTGGTTTTCCATCCTTGTCAAGACGGGCGTGTACCAGGAAGGGACCATCCCGCGGTATCCGCCCAAGAAGACCTGCGCTAATGTGCTCGAGGCCGTCAAGTTCGCCATGAACCGCGAGATGTCGAAGCAGGTCGATGAGTCTGCCATTATCGAGGATGATGCTGATATGGATTCCGGCATTGACTCCGAGTCAGCCGCGACGCACTAGTCCTGTGTCCTGACTGGTCTCCTTATTTCGCGTTCCCCTTAAATTTGCATGGTCTCTACCCCTCATACCTCAGATATCCCTTGAATCCGTCATCATCACCCCACTACCTTACATCCGACACCTATACCTCATCTTATTCTATCTATTCCACATTTTGATTCCCATACGCGACTGGGCTATTACGTTTCAGACTGTTCTGCTTTTTCGGTGACATTTCATCACTTATAGATTCCCATCGGTTCGAGTTTGGCTACTTAGGACTAAAGCTTTATAAATGCATGGATCAGATTACTCATCTCAAATATCTTCAAATCTATCATTAAATAAGTATGTAACCATATATATGCAGGCTCAGAGTCCCACTCCATGATATCACTGCTAAACAATCGCACGCAACCAGACGAGTACTGGACTCGAAACGTAGGAATTCACAACCCATGTAATTTAGCAACGTCATGGGCGGCTATACAAGGCTGAAGCTAAGCGGACCTAAAAAACGCCATCTATGGAATCATGCAGCCACAATGGACAGGGGGTTAACGGAAGTCCACAAACGGCAATCCGAAATCATAAAGTTAGTATCATCCCTGATATGCATGTCAGTTCCATTTGCGTATGTCAGGAAGAAAGCCGGGATGCGGAGGTGAGACTAGGCGCCACGGGGATGGTCGGTTTGCACCAGAAATGCAGGGAGCCTAGAATGGAACCGTAGTCCCTACTAGCCCCTTAATTTGATGCTCCATGGTTGATTGCAGGGGAAATGGCCGTGGGGGATGGAGACAGAGTCATGGCATACCCCAATGATTCCGTGGGGTGTTCCACTTTTGGCCCACTTAATACCGCACAGATCAATCCCCGCGTTTCAGTGTGGGTATTTCACTCAATGTCAAATTCGTTGTCGAGCCAATGCTTCACGACGACTTTGCCCTCTTCGAATCCTTTTTTCGCCATTCGCACAATGATGGCTGCATGGCTGTGCGAGTGATTATGGATCCATACCGGGTATTTTCGGAATCCCACGGAATTGAGTGATTCGATGATGGAGAATTGGGCTGGCGTTAGAGCCAGTGTGGAATCGCGTTGTTTGTCCGGAGACGAAGAAGAAGTCTCGTCTGGCGTATCTATTTGATTTTCGATAGCCCCAGTCTTGCTGACGGCAGGTGTTCGCGGGAGTGATTCTTCCTTTCCACCACGGTTACGAGAGTTTGGTAGGTAGTCCGGATCTTGCATCGCGTTTGCGCTCTCAAAGGCATCTTCGACTGCATTTTGCATGTCCTTCACAATAACGGGCACACGGTAGTTGGAGAGAAGTACTCCTGCCTTTCCGTCTTCATGGAGGCGAATACGCTGGTGACTGCGGTACGTCTGTACAGCAGCATTTACGAGGTATAGTACAACGCCGATGGGGACAAACACCATGACGAGCAGCGAAATTGCCACCTGAGTTAACGTGCCTTTGACCTGTTGCCATAGTCGAGAAACAAATGATGGCGGCTCTTGTTTTTTCGGAGGCAGAAAGTAGTTATCAGGATCAATGACGACTGGCTCATAGCCCTTCACATAGTTGACGTTCATGTTTTCTAGGTCCTGGAATGGGTTCGTCGTCGAAAGAGCGGTCGTGAAGAAAGCCGTCGAACGGTCGTTGACGATATTCGCGTATACTGAACGGTTTCTGAATTTTGCCAGGGCTTGAATGAAGATGCTATCCGGATCAGCGAGGATGCTAAGCAGTGGCCTTCCTGTATCTCGGAACTCATCAACCATGAACATTTGCCTGCCGGACATGGACAGTGTCCGGGCGCCCAAGCCATTGAAAATATGGTCTCGAATACCCTTAAGTGGCATTCTCACACCGACATGTGGCGACACAAACGTGGTGAAATTGACGGGCTCCAGCTTGTCGAACCATCCTCGCGCGTGTAGCAAACCCAGCGCATATCTGGCGACTAGACCTCCTAGAGAATATCCGATAACGCTGAGTTTTTTGATATGGGTCCCCTCTGCAGCCAAGGCACCCAGAGTGTCTTCGATCTCATGCGCCAGTCGCTCCCCTCCGAGCTCGATTCCATCGTAGGTAAAATTCCCAGAATTTCTCTTCGCGGCGAGTATGTAGAGACGGTCTTCTCCGTATCGCTCTCTGAGAGACGCGGCCAGGTAGTCCAAGTGGGATGGATTGCCCCAGAGCCTAGAATATGCATCGCCACAGTCAGTTTATCCATGTGTCTTAGCGGATGAAGAACGCCTTCGTGGCAGCTGGTGTAAGAGCAAGACTTACCCATGGACTAGGACACAAAGATGGTCAACCTTCTGCGCCATTTCATGAGATTGTTAGTATTGATTCCCTTCTGTGAGCAGTATAGCAGAAAAGAATTCCTGGCCATGGTCAGTTGTTTAAATACCAGGTCATTTGCAACTTATCATCCTTCTGCCTGATCTCATTGATTACCGGAGATAAGGGATCTTAGCACCACCGGTGGCTGATAAATCATGTATGTTTGTTCGGTTTGCAACGTGCTCATCGCTTTGGTAGGAGTGCAGCCGAAGACCAGAAACACCCTGCTCAAATGGCTCGTCCTAACCAACTCTGCGAATAATCCTCCGATTATATCGAGCTAGGGCTCCTATCAGCTGATAGATCCCTGTTTCTTGAATATCTACCATATCCCACTCCAGCCAGCTGAGAGGCTGTTCTTCACGTTTTTTCGGACACGGGACACGCCTCCGTATCGCCATTAATGAGCTTGATGTTTTTGAAAGCGAGGATATGAATATATGAAAGTTGCTATTCTCAGCTTAATGTGCATATTACGGATTAATGCGCTAGCAGCGAAGAGTGCTCCTCAAAATCTACCTCGGACATAATCATCAGACTCAATCCCAAGTAGGGGTCAACGACGAAGATGCGTCCTCAGCATCACTCTTAATTTGATATGGATTTCGACTGACTTGTTCCATCCAACCGAGCTCAGTCTACTTTGACTACAGTCTCACTTCTCGAGATCTGCATTTGAACTTGATCGCCACCTGTATCAGTGTGACATCTACTCTGGTTGATACTGTATCATCATGTTTACGCCTCTTGGGCTGTTCAAGGACGTTCCTTGTCCGGAAGGTCAACAATGCTCTCTCCTGACCTGCATATTTTCTCACAACCCCGTGAGCTCTTCCTTAATTAATCAGAGCAATGTCCAAGATACGCCTGTAGCACCAGAAGAGGCGTACGAGTCAGGTCCGCCTCCAAAGAAGCCTAGGCTGGAGACTCCACCAAAGACTGCCGTGAAAAAGGCTCAAGCCTTGTCAGATCCTAAAATGGAATCCATGAAACCAGCTCCTGCTCCAAACACTGTGACGGGAAGCGAACCAGAACAAACAACTCGACGCGCTGGTCAGCTTCAGTCGATGACCCGCGAAGTCTCCCCTCCAACGTTGCGGAAAGAGTCTTCGGCAAAGAAAGATGCTCCTCCCGCATCTCTGGAGGGCAAAGCGCGTTTCCCACCTAGACGAGCTCCTCGAGAAAGTTTGAACCCGCGCATGCTCCCAAAGGCACCTGCGACTCATGGTGTGCGACTTTCTATATTGACAAAGCTCCACGCCGCTATGTGTGCCCTCAATGAGAGATTCGTAAAGGAAGAAGGGGGTACGGATAATCCATTAGTCTTATCTCCCCATGAGCTTGTGACAATGGCGCTGGATGAAGAGGAGAAGGCGGCAAAGGATAACCCGAGCATATATGCGAACGTCATCAAACTTCGGATTGTTAAGCTCCCAAAACTGAGCTTAGAAGAATGGAAGAAGGAAGTGAAAGCTCATCTGAATGAGCGATATTATAAGATTGAGCCAACCCAACAGAACGCTCAACACAAGGCACTCGAAACTGGACTCAGTGCAAATGAAGAAATTGCCGTTGCTAGTAAGCTGATCACACCTCTGGAAGGACTCGAACAGTATGGTTACGTGACCAGGAAGCCTACAAAAGAAGAAGTCGAGAGTGCACGGAGGGGAGTCAGCGAGTCAAAAGGCTGGGAGAAGTGCGATAGATGTGGCGGACGATTTCAAGTCTTTCCTGGCCGTCGTGAAGACGGCTCATTGACCACTGGAGGTCAATGCACATACCATCCTGGCAAGCCATACTACCCACCGAGAAGACAAACAGACCACATCACCGGTGCTAGAGAAGCATACTTTCCTTGCTGCAACGAGTCCATCGGGACTTCATCTGGCTGCACCAAGGGAAACACGCATGTGTTCAAAGTATCTGAATCTAAACGCCTGGCGTCTATCCTTCAGTTCGAAGAGACACCAACCCAGGCCGATAAAGGGCCCCAGCAGCCGGTCTGTTTCGACTGCGAGATGGGATACACAACTCTCGGACTTGAGCTCATTCGTCTAACTGCCGTCAGCTGGCCTCAAGGAAAGCTCCTTTTGGACGTTCTCGTTCGACCCATGGGCGAAATTCTGGACCTCAACTCGCGCTTCTCAGGCGTGTTTCCCGAGCATTACCAAAAGGCAGTTCCCTATAATGGCACTAGCAGCCCTTCCGCTACTGAGGATGGCGCCTTGCAGGTTGTGGAATCACCAGCAGCAGCACGTGCGCTCCTGTTCAAATTTTTACAACCCGATACACCTTTGATTGGACATGCAATCGACAACGACCTCAACGCTTGCCGTATTATACATCCAACAATTATCGATACCGTGCTGCTCTATCCACACCCACGAGGGCTGCCGATTCGCATGGGCCTCAAAGCTCTCGTCAAGAAGTATCTGGATCGAGACATTCAAACAAAAGGCAGTCAAGGTCATGATTCCAAAGAAGACGCGATAGCTACCGGTGATTTAGTCAGGGTCAAGGCTGCTGAAACGTGGAAGATCTTGAAGTCCAAGGGATGGCGGATAGAGGACAGTAAGCTCATACCTCCGCCTGGCGCAAAGGACGCGGCAGAGGATTCGAAGCTTGGGCCTGGGGCCGGCCACAAAAGAAAGGATACGGAGTGATGGCTTTGAAATCAATGATACCCAAAATAATTCTAAAATTAAGCATATACCGAGCATCTACGCAGACTTGAAGCATAAATTCGGGCAATAGTTCGAGTCAATTCATATCTACCAGTCATAACGTCATGAGTAGAAGGAAAACTCCCATAACTGACAAGCCCAACATAAAACAGGTGAAACACAACCTTTTCAGGTATTGTGAGTCAACCCAATCCTGGAGCCCAAACACCAGTAGCCGGAACGTAATCCTTCATCGACCACGTCTATTACTCGAATAGACCCATAGCACATCCCCGTCCGAAAGAAGTTGCTCCCCTCATACGAGTGTCCATGAATCCAAAATATTGAACTTTTTGATTCGGTATTGAGGAATAATTTACTCCTCCTCCTCCTCGCCCTCGTCGTTGACGACGTTGTAGAAGCGGAGCTCGTAGACACCCTTGGAGGTGGAGACAACGCGCAGCCAGTCACGGAGCTGCTGCTTCTTGAGGTACTTCTTGGTCCTGCGCAACCGTTAGACCTCTGACTTCTCGGGCTCAAAGCTGTGCACAATGGACTTACAGGTACTTGAGGTAGCGACCAGAGAAGGGGATGTGAGTGACAACCTCGATCTTGCCCTCACCAACCTGGGAGATGACAACGTTGTCACCGAGGTTGCCAACACGGCCCTCGACCTTGATGCGGTCGTGGAGGAACTTCTCGAAGGCGGAGACATCGAAGATCTTGTCGCTCGCAGGCTGCGAAGCGTTGATGATGTACTAGAGGAATCAATGTTAGCAACCCATCCATCGGGACGTTGAATCTTGAATGCGATCATTGCTTACCTTCTTGGTGACCTTCTGGGCCTTGCGACCACGAGCCTATTACCGAGAAAGCAATGCCATTAGCCTACTGTTCCATAAGTCGGATCCCGAGGAGGTCCATGATAAACATCTTCTGTCTTACAACTGCTGACTTGTAGAAAATCCGCGATTGTAGACAAGAAGCGCATCATGACCGGTCCTCACGGAGGAACAGCAAAGCAGTTTGTGGAGTGATAACATACAGCAACGGGGCCATTGTGACTGATGGAGGGTGTTTTTTTGGGAGGATGAAGAGGGAGTATGTGGTCGCAAAGAGGTGATTATCCTGCGCCTTGAGAGAGGAGTGTAGATGAAACTCTTCGCAAGCAGTGGAGTCTTCACCGTGATCGCATATGGTTGGCGGTGCGTGCGACTAAACTGATTTAGGAATAACCAGGGCTTGAAACTGAGTATAGGGCTAGTTACATCAGCTGACTCTGCTGACTGAACCTCGCTTGGCTCGCGAAAAGACGAGGCTAGCAGGCTAGTGCCGCACGGACCACTTTAACCAAGTATATATGTCCTCGCGACCCCCATCCTTTTAAACTTTTTTTCTTTTCTTCTCCAGCTCTCTTTGCCTTTTGGCTTAGATCAAGTGTAGTATCTGTTCTTTTCAGTTTAATCTCTGAAAGTGTTCTAAGGAACACAACACTGATTAATCTCATTTTTGGACCCAGTGGTGAGGCCTCTGTGCTTGCGCATGCCTCGCCACACAGTGTCATCGGGCTTACACTACCCCCGATTGACGCGAACTACCTTTTTTCATCAATCTGGCCGGCTTGTCCGACCGTTTGGAGAAGAAAATGGGGTTCTTGAGAGGTGTTGGATTTGAACATTGACGACTGGCCTGTACCTGACTATGATATCACAGATGTAGTCTAGATGAACGAAATGGAGAGTTAAATCTGCGCGAAAATTCTAGAAGCTTATCTCCTAGTTTCTCGTAGCGTATTAAGGAGCATTCAAGCTCAAGCTTTCACTCACTACTAGCACAGCTTCGACTGTCTGAATTGCACGTGACGGCAAGGCTGGGAAATCATCTACAACTGCAACCCATCAGCAATACTCTTTACTAGCACATCGCAACATGGGTTCCGTTGTTTTGCCACATCTGCGCTCTGCCTGGCATGTTGATCAGGCCATCCTCTCGGAGGAGGACAGGCTTGTGGTACGTGCGCAAATTTGCGTTGGGTTCCTTTTCCATTAGACTGACATCGGCCACGCAAAACGTAGGTTATTAGATTTGGTCGGGATCATGACGTTGATTGTAGGATTACTGCCCCTTCTCTTTTCCGATGGACAATACTGATCTCGGACAGGCATGCGCCAAGATGAAGTACTCTTCAAGATCGCTGAGCGTGTGAAGAGTAAGTTTGGTCTTTGATGTTCTCTGCTCTGAGCCACAGGCGATGGTACTGACGGCTGCGATCAGACTTCGCGGTAATCTACCTCTGCGACATTGACGAGGTACCTGAATTCAATTCCATGTACGAACTTTTCGACCCCATGACGATCATGTTCTTCTGGAGGAACAAGCATATGATGTGCGATTTCGGCACCGGTAACAACAACAAGTTGAACTGGGTGCTTGAGGATAAGCAGGAGTTGATCGACATTATTGAAACTATCTACAAGGGTGCTAAGAAAGGACGCGGTCTCGTCGTGAGTCCTAAAGGTAACCTCTGTCTTTTGTTGTTGATCTCATTCGAACTTGTAAACTAACGCTTCTGCAGACTACTCAACTAGATATCGCTACTAGACGTTTTCATTCGATTGGCTCCGTTCTTAGTCTTGCTCAGAGCAGACCTCATTTTTCTTTGTTTGAGAGGCCTTCAGTTGCTCCATGCCTTTCAGGTCTATCTTTCTGTTTATGAGATGTGACTATGAATCATGAATTCTTACTATGATGCGAGTATCTTGTTCCATGTCGATATCCACTTTGTAGGACCGATTGAGAAAGACTTTTGCACTATACTCATTTCAAGTAAACAAGAACCAGAACCTTGTCAAGTGGTCTAAAGTAGACAACTGAGACCTGGGCTATTCCTTGTCTTAGTCACGTAAGGCGCTGGATCTCTTGCCCTGTTGGTTACATGATGCTATATTGACCAACCTCCTGCTCCACCATCGACAAGTATTAAGTTGAGGATCGCAGATGGTCTCTGAATTGGACAACTGCGGCGATTTCTCACCTACGTTTGAGAATCGGATATGGTCCTGGATGCCTTCATTGCCACTCCTGATCAGTCGGCCTGTGTTGGACATGCTGAAACCGTACGATGTATTCTCTCGCTTTGCCTACCAAAGTCTTTCCTGACTATCCAACAATAGAGAGAATTAAATCCAATTGAGGAGCACCCCAATGACATTGAACAAAAACAAGGTCCGTTCCAGCATAAGGGACGCTCAAGGCCAGCTTATCTCGGGAGAGATCACTGGGATAGTGGAGCTCCTCGATGATGGGACTGCACTCAAGTCGCCATTTCCAGATGCTGAGATTGAAAGCCATGTCCCAGACATCGCCAGAGAAGCCAGCATCTACCGCCGTATTGGGCCACACAGGAGGCTTGTTCGCCTACTGGGTCATTCCAGGGATGATCTCGTGCTCGAATATATGCAAAATGGTGATCTCAAGACATATCTCTGGCTCTTCGCTAGATGGGTCGAAGCCGGCGTCTGGTGAGGGCGCCCGATATTTCCTTCCACGGCACTGGAGAGATCAACCCACAATGACCACAAATTTATTCGCACTAAGGTCCACCCTTTACGAGAATTTTCAATGTACCAGTCCCTACGAGGAGAACTCTAGTGACGAAGTACAGACCCTTTTTACACAGAAAGTGTTCCCTGACGTCTCCGGTATTCCATGTGGACAAATCATCAAACAGTGTTGGCTAACTCAAGTCGATTCGGCGACGCATGTGCAGACTGCTGTTGGAGATATCCTCTTTCGCACAGTCGATGTCGATTCCCTAGTTCATAGAGCTCAAGCTAAATTCCCATAGTAACATCCATAGCTTTTCCGCTAAGCACTTTAGTTATACCGGAAGCCTGACGATCTAAAAGCGTTTGATTGTCTTTACTTAATAGGATACCTTGAATGTCATTTTAACCGACAGTAGTTCTTACTAATGGCACATCTTACACTCAGAAAGCCTATTCCTTGGTAATTTATATCTCTCCTTTTTAACAATTGTTGACATGGACTTAAAATATATGGATTAGGCTGGCATGTACCAGTTGACTGTTTGTGTATTGCGTAGCTTAAATCTTCGCCCCACCGTTTCTTCACCACTTTCTGTTGACGTAACAATTTAGCGGACGACGCAACCGCTCAATCAACATTGAAGTAGTAGCAACAGCAAATTCGAGATACCTACAACATTATCAAAATGATCGATAACGCGATCTTTGAGAATCTTCAAGCGAAGATTGACGAAGAGACCGCCGTCCGTGATGTAAGGTCCTGAGGAGCTCGGAAGCTCAACATTCCAATGCACAAGTAATGAAGAATAAATAGCTAACAGCCACGCAGGAGCTCCACGAAATTGTCCAGTCGCTTTCTAAGAAAGGTTCTCTCCGCAATCTATGCCATCTGGGCCTTTTGGTCCTCCTGGTTGAGGCAAGGTCGCAGTCTCCGAGCTCAGCTGACTTCCATGATTGCGCGCAGGAAGATCCACACAAGCTATACTCTCCCGAGCTCACTCCACGCCATCTGATCAATGTATGTATCTGTTCGTTATCATATATACACTGTTCATTGACATTGAACAGTGAAGCCGGTTCTTGATGATGCGACTAAAGAGATTATCGCTCAGAGAGATGAAGTCGCGCGGCTCAAGACCGTGGCAGACAAGCACCCGTTCTACAAGTACAACGGGGTGTGGACGAGAGAGCTGCAGAATCTTGTTAGTCGCCTTCGGAAGCGTGTTCAGTGATAAATGCTAATCTCCGAGACAGATAACATCGATCGAGCTATGTGCGTGGCTCGGGGCCTCGAGGAGTACAAAGGCACCGGCTCGGCTTCGTTCCTGACCATCGAGGAAGTTGGGAAGTTCCTCAATGGTAAGTTGCCCTTCTTACTCTTTGTTTCGTGAGATTAGCTTTGTTCTGACGCGGTACATGCTAGTCCCGGTCAATCTGAAAGAGCAAGACGCTTTTCACCTGACTATTGAAGAATATCTCCTGGCACTCATTGGCATGGTTGAGGAATTGGTAGGCATCATCCTTTATTGGCCTTGCGGCGTTAAAGATACTGACTCCGGATCAGTCCCGTCTAGCAGTCAACTCGGTCACTCTTGGTGATTATAACCGCCCTGTTCAGATCGGTAAATTTATCAAGGATCTGTTCGCTGGTTTCCAGCTGCTCAACTTGAAAAACGATATTCTGCGAAAGAGGAGTGATGGGATCAAGTACAGCGTAAGTTGTTTTTACTCTCTGGTTCTTATTTGTGTATGCTTTGCTAATGAACATGTTGCTGTAGGTCAAGAAGGTTGAAGATGTGGTTTATGATTTGTCTTTGCGCAATCTGATTCCCAAGGGAAGCGCTGCGGCTTAGATACTGCTATGCGAGAGAATTACGGTCCAGGAAATGCAGACCAATTGCGCAAGGTAGAAAGCCAGCAATGTTGCATTATAGGCACTGTAGCAGGCATCCTTGAATCTTATAAGAGCACCACTCGTAATAATGAAGACTGCAATAGTCGAATGAAATTGCCGAACAAATCTCCTTATTCCTGCTCTGTCCAATGAAGCTGAAAACATCAAACTGAAAGCTCATTTAATACTGACATCCCAAACACAAACACGAATAATACAATCCCAAATGGTATCTCTGCTAATAGCCCACCATCATTCCTTCATCCACCAGAAACACTACGACAACTTAGCCTGCTCAGTAGCCTGCTCGGTAGCCTCTCCCTCACCCTTCCTCGTCGAAGCAGCCGTCCCCTCCTTCTTCGCCTTCTCAATCTCCTTCAGAATCGTTGCTTCCAGCGACTCAGGTTTGGTAATACTAGCCCAGCGCCCAACGACCTTCCCATCAGCGGAAATCAAAAACTTCTCGAAATTCCACTTGACGCGCTTCAGCCCCATAAGTCCAGGCATCGTCTCCTTCATCCACGTCCACACGGGCGCCGCATCGTCGCCGTTGACATCCAACTTGCCCAGCACGGGGAAGGTGACGCCATAGTTGACCTGGCAGAAGGACTGGATCTCGTCGTTGGAGCCGGGGTCTTGGCTGCCGAATTGGTTGCAGGGGAAGCCGAGAATGGTGAAGTCTTCGGGGTGCTTGGCTTTGATGGACTGGTAGAGGTTCTCGAGGCCTTTGAATTGAGGGGTGAAGCCGCATTTGGAGGCGGTGTTGACGACGAGGACGACTTTGCCTTTGAGGGAGGCGAGGTCGAAGGCTTCGCCCTTCTCTGTGGCGCCCTTAGGTTAGCAAGTCATTCTCATTGTTTTTCGCGGGGTTGGGAGGGGGAATCGCTAAGGCGGACATACTGTCGACGGGCTTGAAGTCGTAGAACGTCGTCGCGGAGGCCATTGTCCTGATGAAATGGGATTTAGGATATCGAACTAGGGTCGCTCGAGTGTTGGGAAGTCTGTTTATAGGACTTTGCCGCGAAATATATGGCAAAGAGGAACAGCGAAATATAATGGAAGGAGGCGATAGTGATGAAGGCACTGATACCATTCTAGATCATCAGAGAACCGAGGCAGCTCGGAAGGTGGGCCGTCGCGTTATATAAATGCACGACCGTTTGAGACCCAGGGGCTGCCGTCGGACTTTAGACCATCCGACGCCGATGACGATGTCATCGTCCAATTGAGGGATGATTATCAGATTGCGCCAGACAAGAATAAGCTAACAATTCCAAATCATTTACATTACGCTTATGACGGATATTGTAGTCCCGAATTCTTCTCGTCGACCTTTTGTCATCGGGACGCGTCTAGACATCGGAGATTGATTCTGCAGAGGCTGGGCCAAGGCTATTGCGACTACCGCTTATTAATGTCTGGACAGTTCACTCGTTCTAGCCATTCATATACTAACTCATAAGAATCATTATCACTGTGGTCATTGCATAAGGTCTGAAAGGTGGCTACGTGAAGCCACACTCTGAATTAATGCATGCATGTGGCATGGGATTTAAAATGTCCGAGGGCACGCCAAGTACTCTTAAGCACTGCCACACTGTCTTGCATGGTAGAAATGCATAGCCCCAAATTAATCAATAAATCATCAACCATTTGCATGCCAGATACAACCAGCAAGAATACAAGCAGATCTCTCTGAACAACGCTCACGCCACACACGACGGTATCGTAGCGTCTTTTCAGGTGCGAGATCGTTGATTGAGGATAGACCACTGGGTAACCAAACAGCATCAGCCCATGTACTTCCGCACATTCTCGCACTTGGTAAGCTGTTTCCGATCGTACATCCCTTCTGAACTCTGGCAACTCCAAATCTCTGGGTCATCACAGCGAAAACTACCCAGTTCGGCGTATCCCAAGCCAGATCCCAGGAGCAGGAACGCAGGAAGCCAATTGGATCGCCTTGATCGATGATAGCGTAGGCGCTGCACACGTAGTGACTAAGGGCCACAAATGATCGGGTTTCTCATCCTTTCTTCGTGGTAGTCACGCCTCATTTCTCCTCCTCTATCTCACTCAAAACGTCCACATCCAACTCCTCCATAACTCCGAGCACAACCCCCAAGCTCTCCATGAACCCATTAACAGCAACACGAAGCATGCGATTCGTCGTAGCGCGGTACGTCGTCTCAAGGACTGTCTTCGCCGCCTCGTCCTCCTCGGTGGTGGAGTTCTGAACTGGAGATTTCAGGGCGAAACTGCGGCGGACGAAGGGGGATAGTTCGGCGTCGACTTCGAGGGCTTGGAAGGCAGAGGAGGCGAGGCGGTTGCTGGGGAGGGGCAGGGATATTGTTCTTTTGGTTTGGATTTCGTTAGTGGGGTGTGCTCATGGACAGGGACGCTGAGAGAGGAGTTTTACAGTGAATAAGGAAATCCAGGATTGGTTGATTCGTTGGGAGCCATGATGAAGTCAATAAGATATCGATTCAAACTGACTATGTGAATATGAAGGACTACCGTTCAGTATGATTTTGTTCGATTCCTAATGTTAGAGAGAGAGTAAGGCGGGGAAGTTTTTGGAGTAGCAGATGAGTCAGCATATTGCTGAAGTCCAGTCAATGAGGATACAATTTCCACCACATTTTCATATCTCTTCAGCCACGAATTCTAGCTTGACGGCTATCTAGGCTTTGTTAACAATTGGCTAATGAGATGGCGCTCTATGGTCAAGTCTATCATACGATTAATGAAATTTGTGTCTTTTACAATCTTAAATGAGGTTGGACATAAAGGTATGAAGTTGATAAGGTACTATACATGAAGCTTATCCACAAGATCCAGCGCCGTTTGGCAGATCAAAACGAACCGAAGGCGTGAAGTTAAAGAGTCGCGCTATACACCCACATGATCATGGTATCCCGGGGTTTCTCGATGTACATAATGCGTTCACAAAGGTGGGTATTGGATTTAAAGGAGTCCCGCGAGGACGTAGGTGAGAGAAGTAGGGTTGAGACCACCTATGGACGCATTTAATAAGCTTGGCCATCACTGTTGGAGAAAGGCAACTTACCAGCCTGGCCGACAGTGGTGAGGACGTTCTTGACACCAGCAGCGTCGAGGGCACCTAAAGACGCAATCAGTAGATGCAAATTACTGACGGAAAATGTTACTTACCGCTCTTAACCTTGCTGACCAGGTTTTCCGCAAGGGTGTTGACGCCGGCAGCTAATTATTCTTGTTAGCCACATTGATTTCTGCCCAAGGATGTTGACTACATACTGCCAGTAACAGTGTCGACGGCACCAGAGGCAATGTTCTCAACGGTGCCAACAGCGCCGCCAGCAGTCTTCTTGACGGTGCCAACAGCGCCACCGGCGACATCGGTGACGGGCTTAGCAACACCCTCAACGGTGTTGACTGCACCGCCAGCGACATTGGTGACTGGCTTAACAGCACCCTCAACATTGCCGACTTCGCTACCGGCGGCACCGGTGACGGGCGTAGCAACATTGTTAGCAGTGCCCATGACATCACGCTTGGTGGCAACAGAGACAGGGACAAGCTTGGTCAGCTGGCCCTTGATGGTGATGAGTTCTGATGGACAGAATTGGGATTAGCGAGGCCGGACTATGCTTTTGGATGTTTCGGAGAAGTTTCTTCAGTAAAGGACATACCGGTCTGAACCTGGGTGAGGTCGACCTCCTCGCAAACGCCGCTGAGGAGACCACCGACGAGACCCTCAACATTGTTGAGAGCATTGTTCAGCTTGCTCAGGGTGGCATCAACAGGGGTCTGAGGGATGGCCAGAGCAGAGGCAGAGCTGGCAACAGCCAGGGAAGCGACGATTCCAGTGAACTTCATGGTGACGGTTGGTTTTGATTAAGAATTAGGAATTAAAGGAGTGACTGAGAGTTGTGGAAAAGAGTGGATGGTCGCTGAAAGCTGGCCTTGCAAAAGATTGACTGGAAAGAGTGGATTTGGCTGGTGGGAGGAGGAAGAGGAAAACAGCTTGAAGTAGAGCAAGACGTCGTTTTATATGCAGGTTTTGTTGCTCCTTTTCCCTCCCAGAGCAAATCATCTCTCTCCTGTCGTGGACCTCATCCGCTCATGAGCTGCCTCGGATTCCACATGTAGATCAGGGGCATCATGGCCAGAGATATCAGTGATAGGTCATCACAGCCCACGCCGTCTGTTACATACGAGTCTAGCAGCTTGAAGACGACAACGATCGACACGGAAAAGCGTTGTTAACTCAGGTTCCATTGTTGCCCGTACTACTAGGCTAGCTTGTATTTAGTCTGCTTGCTTCACTAGAACGCGTGCTCGGGTTATTATCGAATGAAGTCACTACACTCTAACATGGCCCCATACAAGCTGATCTGAGTCCGAACGAAGTAAGCCTTTCAGGCCTAGGGGCGCCCGATTGGTACAGTGCCCCTCAGACGATTTCGCCCAAAGCATGCTATGCTGACCAGGTCCAAACTAATGGGCACCGGTCTATCCACTGTAGGGAGCTAAGAGGCCATAGCGAGGTGTGCAGCGCAGGTGTCATCATCGCAGAATGTTGCACTTGTCTGCGCGATCAATTTTGTCTTCTCAGAGATTTGGACGGAGGCCAAACTTGATTTCTGTGATGGCTGCCAACTCATGAACCCGAGCTCACAGCAGTATGGACCGACATGTCGGACATTGAGCAGTCATCACGGAAATAACTTCAATAGTCGTACTGTGAACCCTGTTGCTGGGCCTCATTTTATGACCTGCGGAGGACGTTGGGGCAAACCGTGTGGGGATTTCACAATGCTTTCATTTAAAATCGCTGTCGATCCCTTATGAACATCTCCGCAGTACCACCGAGGATTGGAGAAAAAATTCAATAAACGGCAACGGATTGCTTAACTTGAACCTTGAATGTAAATAGTGTGGATTAGCTGGACGATCGGCAGTTGGTTATTGTTGCCAACTTGCCACTAGATGTCCAAGTCATTAGCTCTGCAGGATCCTGTCGGAGGATTATTATCGGAATCACAGCCTTCGGCAAGATTGAGAACGCCACATCTCTTTGTCGTCTCATATGACAGTAGATTGTCGTCTGTTCAAATTGTTGCTGTTTCCAAGGAAGACTCAAGGAGAATGATTGTTGATGTGAGGATGGAAAGGTAGAAAGAGGGAATTGGATCAGCAACCCCTCAGGGACTAACTACCTAGTACTCACATTATCCCTGCTGATCTGCTCCACCTCATGGGACATCGCAATTCGACTTTGGGGAAATCATTTCGGTTGTCGAATCATGAAATCCACCAGAGCAACGACCGAAGTCTAATGTATCTCTTCCCCAGTGATAGTCATGTCGTGAAACTTTGACTTTCACTGCAATGAAGCTACCCTTCGCGGCCAGAGAGGAGGACCAGGAATCATATCTATTCCACTTTCATAATAGGGTTTGAAGACACGAGGGATTGGACGAGCCCTGATTTCTTTCACGGCCCTTGTCCGTTTGGCCGTAAGTCAAGAATCCCTACTAAGTAGCCTACAGCCTTTGCTTCAATGACTGGTGAACGAAAATGCTGAGCGTCTCATGGGAGATTGCATCGGAAGACAGAGACGGACTAAAGTCATGATTAAGGGACTACTGACCTCGTGTCAGTCAGGCTGAACTATAGAGAGATCTTCATCATTTTTTAACATGATTTTATATCTTTTCCCTTTTTCACTTGGTATGACTGATGTCACGAATTGATTTGAAATGGATCGACTCAGACGCTGAATATATTGTTAGAATAAAAGACAGCGCAAGAAGAGCAAAATGAGACTCAATATTCTCATGGCAGATAATGAATGTCCCTATTACTCTCTGGGGAGATTCAAGCACTCTGGAGATGTTGTACTAGCCTTCTGGCGATACAGCTTGGAGGTGTTATGCCTCAGGTCTCAGTCACCTGCGCTTCAAGACATGCTATCAAAGGAAACACATGGACTCATTTCCCAAGAGGCAGATATCGTCCTGAGTTTAGCAGCAGTGGTCATGGTCTGCACAGTTGTCTGACAAAGGACAAACGTTTCTGCCCTCTAATAGCTGTGAATTAAACCTCATAGCCAGTGTCTTTTGTAGCTTTCACCTTCTAGCTCGCTACTCCATATTCCATCGTTCTTCGGCTCATCCTCAACAGAACTGACCTTCTTGAATATTATGCTGCCTTAAGAAATTAGACTTTTGCTTCTGCTGGAGCCCAGCTCGCCATGTACTCTTCTCGATGGGCGTTCTGAACACCGTCCCCCTTGGGTAAGACATCATCTTTATCGTTTTTCTTGCTCCGCTCCGCCTCATTTGACACTCGCAGCAGCTAAATCTCTCTTATGCTGGCTGATTCACTTAGAAGGCTCTTCTTGAAAATGATCCCTCATCTTCCTTCTTTTCCCTCTTCTTTCATACATTGAACTGCTGCTGGCATGAACCTGGGACAACTAGTCCACCTACAATCTATTCGGGTTTCGTAAGAGACTACGCAAACTTATGCTGGATATCATGGGCTCGATGGAAAAAGAATTGCAACATTGTGGCATTGTGATTCTCTGTCAGGCTCATACCACCATTCTCGCCCCCGATCTCCGCTTCCACTGGGACTCCCTGTTGCCGAACCGGCCGTATCCTCCTGAAATTGACTGACATACACCGGTTAGCCCAAAAAAGGGCAAACAATATAAGAGATTCCTCACAAGTAATCATAAATTGATGCAGCAGCGACCACAACAGCATTTCCGGCTCAGACGACACGCACTGTTGGGCACGAACCCATACTCTTCGCGACATGGGGAGCGTGAGCTGGACACCTGATCGCACTCTCGGGGGAACGTTCTGCGCCAACAAACAGCGCCCATTTGGTGAGCGAGAAGACCATTTCCCTGAGGTACATCATATCGATGGAGCTGATTGGGTATGCGATCACTCAGTTCAGTTAAACGAGCTGCTTCGGAGACGACTGCTTTAAGAGATGTGCTCGAGATATCATTGCACAGGTGCAACAGATGGTTTATATATTTTTATTCATCGCAATTGATCAACTGATCAATGCATCCTGAAGATCAAGCTCTCCTTCTGGGAGGTGGGTGATAGCGTGCGGTTCCATTTAACTTTCTTTGTCTGACGACGCTGAGCTCTATCTTAATGGTAATTGGTACAGCGACGTGACACGAACAATAGAACCAGAAAGCCGCATTCGCATCATATTGTACCCCCGTTGCAGCCATCGTTCATAGTGATTCCTATTTTACACCTGATCTGCGCTGTGGGATGCCGCGGTAGTAATATGAGGGCTCAGGGTCGAGTTCCAAGTGAATATCAAGAGAGAAGAAATGGCAGGATGAGAATTAAAAGATAGGCAGATGCTACGGTCATCGACAATCAAAGAAGAAGGGCGATGCAGCAATACCGTCAGGAGCCGTCAACAAGCGAGTCATGACTGAGCTATATATCTGAAGGATGATCAACCACCACATGTGAGTTGAGTCAACTGACATTGGCCTCGCAGCCCTAGAAACAGGACGGGCAAGATTTCCTCATTAATAATGTAAGTTGTTCACTCCGTACTATCGGCAGCCCGGGAAACGCAAATCATCACAGAGACTCAAGACATGCAGCTCCGACCTGATCGCTGCTGTCTCTGCAGTCTGCTCAGAAACTGCGTGGCTGAAATTGGAGGACAAGATGTGGCTGTGTGTTTTGGTTGTGGCTTGCATTGTTTTGTTTGCCTCATTTGCTTGTGGGGCAAAACACTGTTGTTTACATAAGCATGGCGGCCAAGATGTTGCTTTCTTGGTCTGTGCCTGAGGCAACTGGGTTGTTGTCCTGCCAACTCCCGGCACTAAGCCACTTTAGGGGCATCACAACATAACAGCGGCCACTTAGCGTGCATCGCAGTTGCCCAAACGGTCTCGTCGGCCTCGAGCTTTGGCTTTCTCTTCCATCTCGTGCGGTCTCCGAAACATTATCTACTACTCCTTCTCCTCCTCACTTCTACCTCTGCCCTAGAGTCTATCCTTCTTAAACCCCTCATCCGCAGTCTCTCCATAATCCGTCTGTATATCGTCATCCTCCGTGGGCTTTGTGGCCTCTTATCTTTACCCTACTTGCATTGTGGGTTGAAACGCCATTTATCGGACAAGAATCGACAGAAGAGCGGACCATGATTGTTTAGATTGGATACATTGTCATCGTCCCTTTTCTCTATTAGTCTAATCATTGACCGGCTGCGAGAAGCACTTGGAGCCGCTGCGGTGCCTTTTTTTTTGCGAAGAGACATTATCTTGTTCAGCCCTCACTCCGTTCGGCTGTTCATCTTATTTAAAGTGCATAAGCTAGCTGCCTTCGAGTGTTTGCCAACTGAAGAGCACAATGTCTGGATATATGGGCGGCCCCGGCCAGGTGATCGAGTATATCCAAGGTTCGTGCTTTTGTTTTGATCCGATCTGTCGAGAAAATGTCCTAGGAGCCCGACACTTGTTTCGTCCAATATGAACTTCACACTTGTCTGGCAAGCTTTCTGACCACTTAAATCGCAGATCGCCTGTACCTCGCTTCCTACGACTCCCCACCTGACCCGAAGGCTCCGTTTCCCTTCCCTCTCGAACAGTCCAAATCTCCCAGCAAACGATCCGCGCGAGGCCAGCCCCAGACGCCTAGCAAGAAGCGTTACCCTGTATATTTCACCGCAGACGATACTCTTTTTTATAACTCCTTCCATGCAGACTTCGGTCCTCTTCACATAGGACATCTCTATCGCTTTGCGGTCCATTTCCACGAGATCCTTGGCGAACCCGCAAATAAAGATCGCGCGGTGGTCTTTTACTCAAAGAGCGATCCACGGAGCCGTGCCAACGCAGCATGCCTTGTCGCTTGCTATATGGTTCTCATCCAGTCTTGGCCGCCACATCTTGCCTTGGCCCCAATCGCACAGGCTGATCCGCCGTACATGCCTTTCCGGGATGCGGGGTACAGTCAAGCAGATTTCACTTTGACCATCCAGGACGTTGTGTATGGAGTATGGAAGGCGAAGGAACAGTCGCTTTGCAGTCTGAGCAGCTTCAGTCTTGAAGAGTATGTATACGGCGGATGGATGACCTTTTGATCGCACACTGACAGTTCTTGCTAGATACGAGAAGTTCGAACGTGTCGACATGGGCGACTTCAACTGGATCACCCCTCAGTTCCTCGCCTTCGCCTCCCCGCAACATGAACCTGTCGCACCAATCCCTTCCAACACCCCTGAATACGCTGCGTTGCCATCAACAGTTTCCCAGGTCATCTCGTCGAAGCTGCCACTTCCGTTCAAGAACGTACTGGCCCATTTCGCAACGCGTAATGTAGGTCTCGTTGTGCGACTCAACTCAGAGCTGTACTCTCCGTCATACTTCACGGCTTTGGGAATCAACCACATTGATATGATATTTGAAGATGGTACTTGTCCTCCATTGCCGTTGGTTCGAAGATTCATCAAGATGGCACATGAGATGATCACAGTCAAGAATAAGGGGATCGCAGTCCATTGCAAGGCCGGTCTTGGTCGCACGGGTTGCTTGATTGGTGCCTATCTTATCTACCGGTACGGATTCACCGCCAATGAAATTATCGCCTTCATGAGATTCATGCGTCCCGGCATGGTGGTTGGTCCACAGCAACATTGGCTGCACCTGAACCAGGGCTCATTCCGCGAATGGTGGTTTGAGGATACCATGAAGGAAAAGCTAGCCCAGATGCAGCCAGCACCGATTACACCTGGAAGAGCATCTACCAAGCAACGTGCCAACAACGGCCCGATTGCGACACCACCCAACAATAGTCAATCCAAGCGTTCCGCGCTTGGAGAGATTGATCACAACGAGGGTGCCGGAACGCAAAGCGAAGAGTACCTTCCTGCTCCAACTCCTGGCCAACCTCGCAAGTCCCATCGGAAGGACTCTCGTCATCATCCCTATGCACGCACCACGTCTGGCACTCTCCTTATGGACAAAGACACGAGCAAGACTGAAGAGCAGACCAGGCAGCGAAGTTCCCGTCTCAGCAATGACAGCAGCGAAAGTGAAGAGGAAATCCAACTGCGCATGTTGGCCAAGCGTTCTTCCCGATCGCCCGTGGCGTCACCAAGCCAGCGATCTGTCAGTTACTCTGCTACAGTGACTGCCAGCTACACCTTGACAGATGACATCCACGAGGACAGAGAGAATTGGGGGGAAGCTGGACATGCTGCACCGAAGACTCCCTTGAGCAGTAAGAGCGGAAGTGGCGCCATTTCGGTCACCAAAGTTCGTACAAGCCCTCGGCGAGTAACCGACGGCAGAAGCGCCTCCAAAGGCGTTCGCAAGATCAGCGGCCGAATCGGTAGCACAGGGAGTCCCACACGCGTCAAGTGAACGAGGTTGCTCGTCTTTATCTTTTTTTTCCCTTCGACGTGCTGGCTGACTTCTTCAACCGCTTTCTTCTCTCTTTCATTTTCTTGGTCTTGGGTGAGGCCATATTACATACCCCCAGTCATGGATAGCCCGTCATCGCTTGCTGCATTTGCGCTACCATTAGTTTAATGCTTCTTCTCTTGTTTCTTGGTTATTCGCTGGAGTCCGGGGTTCAAAGCTTGACGGGTCTGGATTTGTGCGTTGTGGCGTATGGTTGCATTGTTGACGATCTGATGATCTAGACGTTGGCACCGAATCGAGCTCTGAAAACACGCAAAATGGTCATGGTGGTTGTGTGACTTCTGGTAATAGGGAGAGTTTCGATGAATGGTCGTTTGGCGATTGAGTTGAATGTGTGTGTGCATATGTGTATACAATCTACATCGGACTGATAAAGTCGGTTCATAACTTTCAGACAAAGACCCCTGTCCCGCGTAGACTGACCATCATCGTAATTGTAGGACACTGGTGCAGTAGCACCTCGAGAAGTAAGACACTGGTCGTTCTTAAACGAGTCGAGCGAACTTTTAAGAACCTCTATCGAGGTTCCAGGTCCGCCTAGAGGACCGACGCCGTGAATGTGAGTCCATCCGATGAGCAACCGCCGAAGCAAACCAACCGATCAATCCTTTGAATTGGACACAGAGTCCTTGCAAGGGTCAGAACACCGATTTCTCTCTCATTGGCAACGCCGAGGCATGGTCGGACTGCGGGTCCACGTCTAGGCTCGAACAACTATCGTCGATCCTATCGTCGATGACAACTTCAAAGGCCTCCATACCCATGGACGAAGCGACCTGATCCAACCATTTGTCCACCGGACTCATTTGTATACCCTCAGACAGAGGGAAGCTCACGCCGTCGTCAAAATCGCGAAATCTGGAGACGATGTGGAAGGGTATGATCCTGGGTACGTCGAAAAATGATTCACTGGGCATTGGCTCTAGAGCTGATAGAGGAGATGATGATGACGTTAATGATCCAGATCCAGCGGGAGTGTCAGCTACGGCATAAGGCGAGTAGTAATTGTCGTGTCGAGAAACAATGAGATTGTGTGACAGAAGGTCTAGGATTTTGAAGCAATTTTTGGTGCCGCGCAGCACGCCGTTTGAGAAAGTTTGTGGCAGTGTAGACGGAATCGGTCCTATGAGGGATAATTTACCGCGGGTGTTTCTATGGCCCTGTATGGAGGCAACGAGACGCAGTTCAGACGCTAAGCCGTGTATTTTCTCTTTGCACTGGTATAACCTCGAGATCAGCTGTTCTGATTCCGAGGGCGATGACGGCGGAGAGGCATTGAGGTGCCGATTGACCCGATACATCAGGCCGGGAATCTTGACGACTTCCATAAATAATCGGTCCGTTACGTCAATAATGGCCGAGATAGTTGCATTCGCTCGTGGATCGGCCATGTCCTGCTTTCGGATCTCATTGATGAGGGATTGCCACTCTGGCTTTTCGAAGAAGCACGGTTTGCCCTCGATGAACGCAGCGGCAGTGAGAAAGCTGCGAAAGGAAAGATACAGGCAGCGATCGAACCCAGTGAGATGGGATTTTGCCCCGCGCATGGACATCAGCAGAGCAGCTCCAGCGGCATGCTGAGCCCAGGAGTCCTCTCGTGTTTGAGAGTATGCTTCGAATAGGCTGAGTAAGATGGATGTGCTAACACTTTCCCTTGATCGCATGATCCTGTCATGCTTGATCATGCCTCCTAAGGAGACTAGAGCCTTTGAGTACATCTCTCGGCTAGACTTTTGCAGGGCGACGTCGTGATTTGACCGTCCCATGAAAACGGACGTGATGCAGAAAATCGCTGCATCCAGGGCTGGAGTTGTCCCCAAAACATCCGCTACATACACTGCCCAAGGAACATGGACGCGATATTTGTTGAGACCGAAAAAGCGGGGAAATGCTGTGAGGACGAAGTCACGGAATACTGCAGGCTGTTGCCGAGTCATGGACTTTGCGACTAAAGAAGGGAAAATCTGCTCGTCAATTGAATCAGGTGGATGTGCGAGACTCTCTTCTCTTATTTCCTCGATCTCGTGCTCATTGACTAGATTTGCAGTCTGCCCATATCGCTTCTTGATCACGGGTCCTTCGTCCATAAATTTGCGGACTTTCGCATAGCCAGGACACTGAACACCATATTTACGGCATTGAGAGCACTCGGGCCGCAACCCATCGCACTTGATTGTTTCTATTAGTTATCAAGTCGGTAGATGCGGGTTCTTAGCTAAAAGGAAATCAAACCTTAATGCGTCTCTTGATGCAAATCTGACATCCAGTGCTTCGTGGGACCCCAACCATGTTTGAGTATTTGGCTGCTACATGCTCTCCCAAGGCTGGTACGGTGTATGCGTAGATAGACTATCACGATCGAGATGACTTCAATGATTCCAGACGGAGCATCATGCAGGCAATAATGGGACCTTTTAGGATGGAGGAAAAATCACACGATGCGAGTGATTGAGCGGTAGTTGCTAGGGTAGTAATGATCGAAGTGGAGAGAAAAGAGTTGCAAGAAGCAGATATTCGAGTAGTTTCCGTTCTCTATGCTCGTTCTGTCTAGAGAGGTATTATTGTCCTCTCGTGAGGCTTGCCGGATTTTCCCTGCTACTCGTTCCAGTTTTAAGCTTGAAGCAAGGTGAAAGGATCCGTTACTCCACCGCACTCGGCGTTCATCCTGAAGTTTCCGATCCTAAGCAAGTCAAGCAGCTGAAGAACCGTTCTGCTGATCGTCAAAAAGCAGTAAAGCCAGGGACGGCCCAGCTGGGGGGAGGCAGCGAATGAAATGTCTTTTTTTGATCGAGAGTTGTCTCAAACACGGTCCATCTCCGAGTTGTTGCTAGCTTGTAGAAGTGAACCAACGGAAGCGCTCAGCAAGCTTAAAGCAAGCCGTAAGCCAATAATCTGAATGACTTCCCACGGCTGCCCAAGCAAGAGCCCGTGGAACATTACTCGGTATTAGTAAGTTGTGTCTTGGCTCGCCAAATTTTGTCGTTTGATTCGCTGTAAACAGAGTCCAGGGGCAGAGGTAATGAAAGGATCAAGACATGGGTTCTCTTCGACGATCCCCACTCTATTGATTATTTAATCGATTATGCCAGGGTCCCCTCATGCACACGGACAATTGTGCGTCTCCATTAGATCCATGATAGTTTAACAATACTGAAGCATCAGCGGAAGAGATGGAGCGTGATGGTGGAAGAAACCAGGAGTGAGAAAAGCAGTGTAGCAGCGTAGATAGTGGAGTTGAATTCCGGGAAAGGATTCGGTCACGGAAAGTGTCGATGATCATGATGGAGCTCGCTAAGGTAAGGTGGTCATATGAACATTCTGGCCTTTCCACGATTAAGCCTCACCACCCGCGTGCCCAACTGGTCTATTCCCTTTCTTTAAGATCTACTAGACGTCATGCCACACCGGGGACGATTTCTCACTTGATTTTGGACTTTAAATTTGCCAAACAATTGGATGCCCATTGGATGATGACAAGTGATAAGCAGCAGCGTCGACCAGGATGCCCTACAATTGACAACGACAATGTCCTCGCTAGTGATTCTAGACTTGTTCCACAAGACGCAATGTACTGTTTGCCAAAAGCGCCTTTGCCAGCGGAAAGACGATATACTACCTGACAACAAAGACATTTGTGGAAGTTCCATTTTGGACCCTGGCCTGCAAGAGTACCTTGAACGGCTCATTGCTGTGAGCTTCATCGAGATCTGGCGATGGTTCTTGCGGCTCGTCAATGACCCTCACAGCAACAAAGTGCCAACCTGGCTTCGGCAGGCCGTCCATCGTCGCGAGAAGCTTGAGCGTCTGTTGAACGTTCCAGATACCCTCTCGTGGCCCGCGATAACCTGCCAACCAATGTTTGACCCAGTTGCGCAGTCCCGGGTTCGTTGACCACCGGTAGGCTCCGACAACCGAGGGAAGCATGCCATAGCTGTGTGTGAAAGACTCGCCGAACCGCGTGGGCGGTATCCCTGCTGCAATCCGGCATATGGTGAGTGCGGTCCGCTCCGCATCAGGAGGAACTATCCGTCCTGAATCTAGAAGGTATCGCGTACGCGCCCGCATGTTCGTGCAGAGATACGCCGCGTAATTGACGGCTGAGGTGCAAGGGTCTCTGGCATTGGGAAAAACGAGCGCAGATACACGGATCAAAGATGCATGATCAGAAGAAGATATCGTCAGATAAGCTCCGCTAATGTCATCATCAACGGGCACTTCGTCAATCGGTACGGCCGTCCGCCATTCATCCAGCTTGCAAAGAAGCTCAGAACTTTTGCTAGACCAGAAAGTATCGAGCTCGGGCTCCTGACGTTTCTGTATCTCCAATGCTGTTACCTCTTCTACCAACAACAACATCCTGTCCCGTAGTTGCGACGATTGCTTCAAAAGCAGATCTAGCCATCGTGACACTTTCGTTGGCATAGTTTCCGGCGAGGTAACTGAGTAGTCTTTGTTATATAAGCGCAGCAACAGTGCCATTCTCGCAAAAGACCTAATCAACAGCATTCCTGCCGGAGTTTGCATAAGCAGTTTGTAACCGGTATTAAGGCATAATGCGGCACCTTGCATGTGCGAGCGCCATGCAAGCAAGGCGCCTCGCTGAAGCTCAAAATTGGCAAGCAACATGGCTGTGGCGAACAATGAAAGAATTCTATCATGATCCCACGATTGACTCGGAGTGTCCGCTGCGCTGCTCGAGGTTAACTCCGCGTTCAAGCCCTGAATTGCCTTGAGACTATGATGAAAGGCGTGACGGCGTAGATTGATCGAGCCTCTCGAATATGGCTCAAAACTCGACATTGTGAGAGCTGCTAACGCCATGGAGGCGTTGTAGACGTGGTGGGACATGGCTTGTGATTTGAGAATCTCCGATAGAGGTAAGACTTTTGAAAGTCCCGATAGATGACCGTTGGCAGAGTATTCATAATACGTGTAGTCCTCTGGAAACTCGAACGCTCCAAGAAGGGAGAGAGATGAATGGTACGGGATACGCCGGGGCGAGAGCCTGTTTCCTGCGGACATTGGCGAGTATGGCGTCAAGTAGCCGTCGTGAATCACCATTGATGAACCAGGGGCTGCATCAAGAACATCGGGCCATGCAGGCGTTGAACGCCCTTGGTCGAGTTTAATCTCAGAGTATATTTCAGAATCAGAATCGGTCGGAGTGTCTGGATCTCGTCGACAAGTTGCTTTTGTACCTTCCTGCTTCAGCTCCACAGGAGAACTTGATCCTGAATACTCGGACGACGGGGGAGAAGGTGGTCCTCTTAGGCCGATCGGTTTCCGGCTGCCGGAACTGGGCAATATGCCGTTTGCCTCGTCATCCCCCTCATTCTTAGAGCTCGATGACCGCCCTTTCTTCCCTACAGGCCTGCCTGTCACTCTTGCAACCACGAGGTTCGTTTGGTCTTTGAAAGTGATCCTCTGAGCATATCCTTCGCACGGAAGGTTGATACGTCTGCACTGATATGGTCGTCAGCATTGGAAATGGACAGGCAGGATGCCAACAATCCAAATGAGATTCGCACATTGTTACACCCCGGTTTCGTCTCATCGCACTTGAGTCTCCTGCGTCGGCAAGTCAGGCAACCGGTTCGACCACGCGAGACGACATTGCGCTTTCTGGCAGGTTTATCTTGCGAAGCGGCAAGGGGCATCGTAGCAACAATGGAACGGACGAGGTAGTATGGAACAAATCGTCTTCGAGATGGGGAGTACAATGCTATTCAGACTGAAGTGCTGTGGACAGAGGGGGATCCGCTTCTGTGACTTGAAATGGTGATGCAACAAGCTGATGCTTATACAAACTCAGGCTCATCTCTCTTGAGACATTCAAACCGTTTGAGCTATGTCAAGCTATGCCAACTAAACGCCTAGTCGAGTCTATCGGCAAACACCTTAGGCGCAAGGGATCGACAGACTAGCGAACGATCCACGCTGCAGTCACCAGATAGGCCCCCAGATGCCATGCTAAGCAGGCTGGGATGAACGCCGAAGGGAGGAATGTGACAAGTCCAATCTCAGTAAGTTTGTGTCGCCTCTTTTCTTTGTTTTACCCCCTTAAAAGATAAGCGAGGCAAACGCAGTGATCGTTCGCTCCCAATTTAGACTTTCTGTTCCAGTACTCGAGAATTTCGGTGGCTTGAACATGTGTATTTAGGAGTCAAGGCCCAAATGTTTCTGCTTACTGTGCTACATCGGAGGTAAGCACCGTGCCATGCAAAATTCTTGTCTTACATTTTGACTTGCTTTCTTTCCTTTCTTTTTTTCCCTGCTTTTGGAGGAGTGGCATGACCTGCAGATGCCCCAAGGGCTCATGTCTTGGATGTAGCAACGCAAATCATACCTTATCATGATTGGCGATAGTCGCTGAGATTGCCACTAACCACAGCATCCGTGCCACACTGCTGCAGATACAATGATTTGAAAACATTTCCCCTCCTTCGAGAAGTTGACGAGGGTTTCCCACCTCCAGCACTTGGCCGTCGCCCATTACGAGGACTTGGTCAAAATCGATAATGCTGTGTAACCTGTGCGTGACGGCTATGACCGTACATTCGCTGAAGCGGTCCCGAAGGACAGCCATAATACGGTCTTCGCTTGCTTTGTCCAGGCTAGCGGTCCCCTCATCAATGATGAGAATTTTGTGTTTGCTCACCATAGCTCGTGCGAGGGTAATGAGCTGTCTCTCGCCTTGTGAGAAATTTCTCCCATTCAGTTCGACTGTGTCATCCAGCTTCCATTTCCTTGTCCCCGCCACATCATCTAGGATCGACTGCAGGTATCCCTCGTCATATTCTCCGTTGAAGTCCAGATTGAAACGTATTGTTCCATCAAGCAGTGTGGGATCTTGAGGGATAAAACTTATGCTCTGTCGTAGCTTTTCAACAGGAACCGATTCAATGTCAACGCCATCAATGGATATGGATCCACGCGTCCTAGTCGTCAGCTGTAGCAGACTCAGTGCCAGGGAAGTCTTTCCACTCCCTGTGCGACCGACAATAGCTGTTCGTTGGCCGGCAGTCGCTCTGTAATTGACACCCTTAAGAACCTCCTCTCCATCCAACGAATAGCTGGCCCCGAAGTTTTCAAAGGAAATCAATCCCCGAGTTGGCCAATGTTCTACCGTACAGGCGTCAAGATCAGCGGAAGAAACCTCTTGTGGAAGGTCCTGGATATAGTTCTCAACACGGCAATAACTGGCCATTTCTACTTCCAGAAGACTCGAGAGATAAACCAGATCTAGACGGTTAGTGTACAGCCACTAACATCCAGACAAAGAGAACCTACAAAGTAGAGCCGTGCAGAGGCCGGTTGTGAGGGTCAAACTAAGACCAACAACAGGCGCACTTGAATGCGGCCGCAAGATGGCTAATGTTGCCGCCGAGCATGATATCAAAGCGACGAAGATGTCCATCCGTACTGCCAGCCATCTTTGAAGGTCACTGACAGCATTCCATGCCTGGGCATGGTGCTCAACTGCCGCATTGAAGCGCTTCTGTAGCATCCCCTGCGCACGAAATGCGTGTATTGTCTTAAGGCCCGACGCAGTTTCCGCAATACTATGATGCAGCGGCGTGAGGCTAGCGGCGTATATATGCTTCACGGCGGTAGCTGCGAAACGATAACGGTAGCCCACATAGACTGCAAACCCGCACAGCACGACAGAGGGCAAAAAGAAGAGTGGTATAAGCGATGTCACGGTGAGAATTCGGAGACCAATTGACAGATATGTCTCCAAAACTGGACGAAAAGTCCTGAACAGAGTGTCGTCTAAATTTGCGATATCAGACGAGAAACGATTGATTACTTGTCCCACTGGGGTACTCCAGATCCAGGTGTAAGTGGTGCCGAAGATTGCGGAAATCATTTCCATATGCTTGTCACGACTAGATCGCCAAGCACCCGAGTATAGCAACAACAGCGAGACTGCCAGCATCGCTATTTGCGCTGAACCGATTCCTGCTCTTGTAGTCAGCATTTGCCATCTGATGCGATCAGAAGGGGACGTCATACCTGTATAAATTCCTAGGTAAAACCCATCCCTACCTTCCTCTTCGTTTCTCACGGATATTGCACTCCAAATCGAGAGCCATGCTGGGAGTCCGATCTCCAAGGCTTGAGCTCCTACGGCAGATATCAATGCTAAAGTGACGAATGGCCGACTGCCAAAGGACCGGAGGTATTTGAAACCTGGAAGGGTTAATACCTGGAAATGGACAATACTGCTAAACTTACCATATCTCAAACTGCTCACGCGCTGAAAATCAGCTCCTTCATTAGAGGCCTCCGCAGAGACCGGGCTCATCTCATCGCTGCCACTGGCGCTGTTAAAGGTTGCAGACACTATTTCAGAGGCATCTCGCGTATCATGGAACAAACGATCGACATAATCCTTGTCGGGCACGCCTAGTGTGTTTTTGGTGCTGAGATTCTTCTTAACTTGCACGATTCTGCCATTCTCCATATGAATGACCAGATCAGCCATCTGGAGTATTCTCTGACTATTCGTAACCACTATCATTGTGCGATTCCGCTGCTCCGATCTGAAGATGCATTTCGTCACCACCCACTCGAAGGTGCTTGGATCTAACCCTGAGAGGATATCATCCAACATGACGAGATTTGCGTTCGTATACATTGCTCGGGCAAGGGACACACGCTGACGCTGACCCCCAGAGAGACTGCGGCCAGCTTCACCTACCTCTTTGAGGTCGCCGTCCTTGAAAGCTGCAAGATCTTTCTCCAGCGCGCAATCCCTAATGACCCGCTCGTAACGCTTTTGATCATATGCAGTCCCGAATACAATGTTATCCTTGACACTGCCTCGGAAAAGCCAAGGTTCTTGAGATGCGTAGGCAATCGGCTCGAATTGTGCTTTGCCGAGCTCTATGCTGCCTTGGTTTGCAGAACCACCAAGCAGCAATGAGTGTAATAACAAAGTTTTCCCTGACCTAGTTTGCAGATGTTAGTAATTCCTTCGAAAGGCAGTGAAAGGGAGATAGGGAAGACTGTACCCAGTATCACCCGTAATCACATTGAGTCCGCCCCTGGCAAACTCGACATCAAGCCTGGCTTGAGTGTGATTGAACTCCCCGGCGACCTGCGCTGTAGAAAAAGAGGGAACCCGATGGTCTAATCTTTGTGCCTGCATCGTAAGCTGGGTTTTGTCTGTGACCACCGGGGAAGTCTTTCGGTCCATAAAGTCGCTTAATCGTTGCAAGCTCACCATCGCTTGCGCGTATTGCCCAGCACCAAGTACACTTAAGGTAAGCATACTCTTGATAATATTGAATATAGCGACAAGTGTAAACACAATATCCGGCGCCAAAGGCTTTTCCCCTGCGAAGGTGAAAAGGCATAGACTGAGGACCATTGCCAGAAAGGAGCAGGAAGAGGAAAGGCTTTCTGAGAGAATGATGACACGCATCTTCAGCCAGATAGCATCTAACTCTTGCTTCCTCTCATCCAAGATCCTTCTTATAAAAGACTGTGCGTTTCCAAGTATCTTGATCATTAGTAGAGCCCGTATGCTTTCACTTGTTCGTGTTATCCGCATATCGGTTGCCCGCACGATCGCTGACTGAGATTTGGTTTGTTCCGATATTATGAATCGGGAAAGAGGATATCTAGTGACAAGAAGAAATAGCAGGCTGGGGATATAGTACCATCCCATAACCCTGTATAAGAGGATGGAGGCCGTGATGAATTCAACGGGGACCATGAATGCCGTCATTGCGGTGTATCGAAGTGTACCCAACCTGTCAATATCCACTGATATAATGCTCTGTAATTGCCCAACATTAATATCTGCATCTGCCTCGAGCATCGACATTTTCTGATAGACAGCGGCGATAATAAGAGACTTCCAGTCTCCTATTGTGTGGGTAGCAAAATACTCGAAAGTCTGCATGCATAGACCACGAATAATCGGCGATACTGCAAATAATGTGATGGAGAACCAGGGTTGAAGCTTGGCTTCAGATGGACTTTGAAGGGAAAGAAGAAGCTGATGTAGCCCGATCGTCCCCACAAGCTCGAAGAAGCCACACAGGCCTGCAAATAGAGCCATCGTAGCTAGCCTCATTCGAAACAACTTCCAGAGAATGAACTTGAAAGGTAAAGACTCCGGGCCACAACTTGCATACGCTTGTTGCCAACTGTCTACCGTGGCCTCGATTTTCTGAGGATAGAGATCTTCCTTGTTGATGGAGCCGTTTCGGTCGTAGCCGAGTGTCACCAGGGGACTGACCCAAGTATAAAGCCACCATCTGGAGAGAGGCGAACATGTATCTTGAGGGTGACTTGCACCCTTAACTGATGTGTTCAAGTTTGGAGAGAGAATAGGAACAAGAACCGAACATGTAGAGCTCGCCACTAGCTGGACTATATCCAACGAGGAAAGTCCTAGACCTGACGGGACTTGAAGCCATATCATTGGGTATAACCGTCCGGGTACATCTACTGTGAGATAGATGGATAGACTGAGAAATGTTGCGTTTTTTAGGAAAAGGAATCGACAAGGCGTTGGCGCCAGGTAGAGAGCTCGGAATAGTGATATGATTACCTGAGAAGTTAGTGAAGTGCCTATCCATTTATAACTTGCCAGGATTTACCCAGAGCGAGGCTGTAATAATCCTTGACTTTTTATCGAAGCCCTCAGTCCATAGAGAGGCAAAGGAAGAAATCACACATGTCACGGCAGAAAGAAATCCTAGAATTCCCCAGAGTATCTGCGTTGGACTCAATGTCATTGGACTGGCCAGCGCTCGTCGACATAAAAGATGCACAATGTTGGCAATGTAAATGAGCACGCACAGCCCAGCTAGAACTAGCATGCTAAGCTCAACTGAAGGGAAGAGAATCGGCATGTTTGTCAGTATATGGGTATGTTTTGAAGGAAGTGTATGAAGTGTATGAAGAGCAATGACTAATTGTGCGTTTACTTCTATAACCAAGGGCGAGATATTGAGAACTGCACGCAACAGAGAAGCAGAATTCTTGAAGCAGTGTCTATTCCCTCTTGAACAAAAGAGGTTTATATAGCAGTAAACACACGGTCACTCACAGAGGATTTCCCTTGAGCTTTACCTTTTGGCTCCACACAAGGCTTGACCGAAGACTATGCACAGCCAAGAGCAGGGTACGCAGATAGGTAGACTCAACCTTGCTATACAAATTGCCCAATTGAGTAAGTCTAGAGTCCGCCATGTCTGAGCACTCCAACTTGTAGATCCCAACAAGCAGGAGGCGCCCAGGTGGGCAAAAAGACACGGGGCCAGATTAAGCTTTTCTGCCATAGGGTCCCATGGATTGGTGCAAAATTTCCAGATTGATTCCCATCGTACGACAACGCCAACGACACGTCGATCATCCGCTAAGAGGGCTTTAGTCTCAGAGATGTTGGAGGCGTGAAAAGAGAGCACGTCTCGATTCTTGATGAGGTGGTCGTTCTCAGTTACCCGATTGGGAATGTCCACCGCTAGCGCCAACACCGAACTGAACATGGGACAAACACAACCCAGCAAGACACACGACGACAAGAAAAATCCTGATCATATAATCTTGAGCTCCCTAATTCTCTTATTTTGAGCAATATGCCTGTTTTCCGACTGCTTTTGTGGCTGTTCTTCTCCTCTTCAACTTGGCCTCCGGAAAAGTCACCATGAGACGCTGGCTCGCAGAGTGGTCACTTGCTCCTTTATTCGCACTTGCAACGGGAGCAGTAACAGAGTCAGAGGGCCCTCAAACTCTACTCTCCTGCAATTATGAAGATGGGTCGTTTACAACGTTCAGAAGCCCTGCATTTCCTTCCCATTCGATCCGGATCAAAGAGCAGAATGACGAGATCTGCGACGCAGGGTCAAAGCAGTACACTGGATGGCTTGAATTTCACGGAAAACATATATTCTTTTGTGAGTTCTGAGACGAGTAAACAGATACTCTTGTTGACTATGTGATGGAAGGGTACTTTGACAGCCTGAATGATCCCCTGACCGATCCGCTCACATTGTGGTTGACGGGAGGACCCGGCGTAAGCAGCTTGGTTGGTGAGGATTCTCCTTTGCTTGCAAAGGGAACCAATTTAGTGCGACTAACTAGAGACCAGGTTTAATGCTGGAATTAGGTCCATGTCTCATCAAGTCGGGAGACAGTCACACAGAGAGAAACCCTTATTCTTGGACAAGAAACTCATCGATGATATTTGTCGACCAGCCGGTAGGAACAGGGCTTTCGTATGTGGATTCACACCTGGATATCCCAACAACTTCCAAAATTGCTGCAGAAGATATGTATATCTTTCTGCAAATCTTCATGACAGAAGTCTTTCCTGAACGCCGACAGACCCCCTTCCACATAGCAGGAGAGAGTTATGCTGTATGTTCTTTTTTCCACTGAAATTAGTCGGCCGTTTTACTCTAACAGTATCACGAAGGGGCATTATATTCCTACCTTGTCACGAGAGATACTTCGGCAAAACCAGGCCCCTGAAAGGCCAGAGATTCCACTTCAATCGATCTTGGTCGGGAATGGCTATGTTTCGCCGCTCGACACCCTCTACGGGTATTACGAGACCCTCTGCACGACCAAGCCAGGCGTTGACGAGCCTGTTTTCAACCAGACCCGCTGCCAGATCATTTCAGATAACCTACCTAGATGTACCAGCATTTATGAGGTGTGCTACCGATATCCAGACGAGGTTCTATGCAAAGCTGCGGATGCAGTTTGTGGCGTCATAAAGGAACTGTACCACAACGAGTCACATGCAGGTGGACGTGATCCTTTTGATAGTAAGGCTTGGACTTCGATGCTTCCGAAAGGAACAATGTGCTGATGCTTGCCAGTCACCCGAACCTGTGCAGTGGACCACCTGTGTTTCTCGCAAACCCTCGAGATTCAGAAATACATAAATAAGCCTAGCACTTGGGCTGCTCTTGGTGTTCCGGAAGCTGTCCGGAATTTCTCCATTGAATCCAAGGAAGTTGCTTCCGCGTTCGAGGCTACCACTGATCTGTACAGCAATGTCATGGATCATATCAAGTACGCATTGGAACATGGAGTGGACGTGTTGATATACAATGGGAACTTGGACCTTGCATGCAACACCGCGGGTAACTTAAGGTGGGCGGATGCTCTACGTTGGAATGGACAAGCACCGTTCACTTCAGAAGATCTGAAACCTTGGTACTCGAACGTAGGCGGTATCAAAGTCAAGGCTGGGAGTTTCAAGGAGGTCTTCGCCTCAGTCCCCAACGGGGTCTCTGGAAAACAGCGCTTCGCGTTTGTCACGGTAGATAAATCTGGACATATGGTGAGTGCAAACTTGTGATAGCAGCTGAGTACGGAAGCTAATACAGCGCAGGTTCCATTAGATCAGCCTGAAGTGGCACTTGATCTTTATCAAAGGTGGCTGTTTCAAAAGTCTTTCTGATCAGAAACCTTCAACTGGCTGCCTTGACACTTCCGGTTGATACAAGAGGAATTTGCATGCTGCCAGGCTTGGAGCATTACCTTGGAGCATTATCCACGATGGTTGGACTCAGCTCAATTACTAGACGGTCTAGACCTCACTTTTCCCAGTTTCGAGACGTGACACTCAGCTAATCAGCCCATTCTCAAAGTCTTCATCGAACTCCATCAGTCTTCGTGCGCGCTCATTGCAAGAAGCTCACAGGTAGATGGGCATATTTACACATACACCCGGACTCGACTGTTAAAGATTCATTCTGTTGAATAGTTCAATATTCCATCTTCAAAATGGCATTCAATTGGCGGGTTGATAGATCACCAAAGCATGAATGCTTTCGAAACTGACTGATCCACTGACCGCGTGGGACTATTGAAATGTGACCAGCAAGTAAGGGGCGCAGTCCGTAGTCTGATGTGGCTTGCAGATCGCCCAAAAAAGGAGAGATGCGCGAGGATCGTTTTGGTATCCATCCATGCACTAGAATGGGCGATGAATTACCAATGTAATCAATGAGATCTGGAATTTGCGACGATTTGCTTGACAAAGGAATCCCCGGGCAAACAATGATCGCTGATCCTACTGCTTCTAACCGAGCCCATCGGATACCAGCAGAGCCTAAAGATTACAAGGGATGCTGTCGCTCAATCAGCACGGATAATTGAAGCAATCGATGACTCTAATAATCAGGGCCGTGGCGACTGGCCTCCTAATTATAGTAGTGATCGTGGTTAAGCTCATACTCCAATTCCTTGCTTCCCTGAAACATGATCACACCAGAAGAATATCATCCATGAAACCTAAGCTGACTATCTACTCTCCACAATTAACTGATGAAAACCAGAAATATCTTGCAGCCTCAGATCTTCCTTGCTTGAACAAAGTCTGACCAACCAGCTCTTTTGTGGGGTTACTCAGGCATCGGGTGAAGGCCCAGCCTCAGTCGTTCATCGCCTTTGCCATCAGCCCATGGCTGGATATTATCCTCAATTTAGTATATGCTTCTCTTGATCTTTGCCAATCTATTATGTCCTCTTCTAAGCCGTCAAACCGAGTTAATTTCCCTTGTGATGGTCCCGCCGCTTGCAGGACTGTTTCGTCTTCTCGACAGTTCTTATTGAAACCGACGTTGCGAACGCAGTCAGCGACTGAACATCTTACTCAGCTTCGACATGGAGTCTAAGAAGGAGTCAGTGGATATCAGCGTCTGTCAGTCATTGAGGGAATCGACAAATGAAAGAGCCGAAGCACCCGAGCCACAGATCTATACGCAGGAGACGCAGCTTGAGATAGGCGATGATATTGATGACGACGTGTACGCCCTGTCTTTCCTTTTATTAGTAAAATATTAGCTGCCTTACGAGTCATTTGCAAGCAGTACTGACCTGAGAAGTGTGTCTCCAGAGGTACGAGCGAGTGTTGCTGCAGACGATGAGGACATCCCAGTCAATACCTTCCGCGCCTGGTTCCTTGGGATAGTTGGAACTGTGATCCTTACAGCGTTGAACCAGTTCTTTCAACTTCATTCTCCACCACGTGAGTGATTTGGTTCAAACTATCAGTAGCATGAGGACTAATTTGGATTGTAGTATTCCTTTCCGCATACCTAGCCATCTTAGTGACATTCCCCTGCGGAAGGTTGATGGAAGCTGTTTTGCCAGAAAGAAAATGGAAAATACTGGGTTGGACATTTACACTCAACCCAGGACGCTTCAATCAAAAAGAGCACTGTATCGTGGCCATAATGGCGTCCTTGGTGACGGCTTTCGATAACGGGTCTCTCGCAACAGATGTCTATGTCGCCTTTGAGAAGTTCCTTCACATCCCAGTTTCCCTTGGATACAGGTTTATGTTTCTTCTCACCACGCAGGCTTTGAGCTTTGGCATCGCAGGATTGTTTCACAAATTCCTCGTCGAGCCAGCAGCCTGCGTCTGGCCAGGGGTGCTCCCGACTTGCTCCATGCTGTATACTATGCACCAGCGGAACAAGCAGAACGAGGAAGCTAATGGATGGAAAATCAGTCGCATGAAGCTCTTTGCTGTTGTTATCCTATGTGGAGCAGCATATCAGTTTCTTCCAGGGTTTTTGTTCACAGGCCTCACAACATTTGCCTGGATATCTTGGATTGTTCCCAACAATGTCACTGTCAACCAGGTCTTTGGAGCCGTTTCGGGGATGGATCTTCTCCCCATGACCTTGGATTGGAATCAGATAACTGGCTACCTCGGATCGCCTCTCCTTGTGCCTACATGGGCGTTGACGAACGTGTTCTGTGGAAGTATCTTTTTCCTTTGGATCGTGTCTCCAGCATTACACTGGAGCAATGTTTGGCAGGGGATGTACATGCCGTTTTCTTCGTCGAAGACCTTCGATAATACAGGTGAGTTCTCCTTGATACATCTCTTAGAGGTTTCTAACACATTCAAGGCAAACCATACAACACCAGTCGAGTGATGAATCCAGATTACTCACTAAATCAAACTGCCTATCATGAATATTCTCCGGTGTTTCTATCAACAACGTCCGTTCTCTCGTATGGATTGGGATTTGCCGCTGTGGCTTCGATCATAGTACATACCGCCCTCTACCACCGCCGTGAGATTTGGTACGGTCTTCTTGCTAGCATTGGAAGGTCGTCTGTTGAAGAGAAACCAGACATTCACGCGCGGGTAAGCACCACAACACCAACGGGAAATAGCCACTGACAAAAGCAGTTGATGAAGAGGTACAAGCAAGTCCCGTTGTGGTGGTATGCCTGTACCTTTCTAGCGATATTCAGCATCAGCATCGCTTTTCTCTATGCTTATGATACCGGCCTTCCCTGGTATGGTCTCATCCTAGCCATAGCGCTTCACATAATACTCTTGTTGCCAACTGGCATCATGATGGCCTACTGCAATATCAAGCTTTCAACTGCCGTGATATCGGCCCTCGTAGCCGGATACATCTGGCCAGGCAAGATGATGAACAATGTGGTTTTCAAGATCTTTACTCTGGTTTCATCAGCTCAAGGGCTCGGGTATATCTCGGTCATGAAGCTTGCCCACTACATGGTGAGCCTTCCTTTCAAGCCGGAAGAACAAGGCTTCCTCTAACAGATCCAGAAAATTCCTCCTCGAGTCACTTTCGCGGCACAGTGCACGGGCATCATCGTTTCGTGGCTGACACAGACTGCAGTCAACGTCTGGGCGATGGGCAACGTTGAAGACGTCTGCACCCCGGAAGCAAGCAACAACGTAAGTTTGGAAGCATCCTCAAGTCCGGGACTGTTAAACTGAGGCGAGACAGTTCCTCTGCCCACTTGCTGCAGGCTACGCCACAAATGCCACCTTCTGGGGCCTCATCGGCCCGAAAAGGCTCTTCTCGGAGGGCTCAATGTACCGATCTATGTTGTGGTTCTTCTTCATCGGTGCCGCATCCCCAATAGTACTGTACCTTCTGGACAGACGCTTCCCCAGAGCAATGCTGAGAAAGGTACCTGCAGGCCGCACCGCATACAATACCGTTCGAGAATACTGACCGCAATTTAGGTCCACCTACCCGCAATCTTCGCATCCACCGCATCGATACCACCAGCCACCGCGGCAAATTACATGGCCTGGGGTATTGTGGGGCTCTATTTCAACGGCCATCTCAAGCGCGGGTACCGACGATGGTGGATGAAGTATAATTACATCCTGTCAGCTGGACTCGATGCAGCGCTGGCAGTCGGCAACTTTCTCATCTTCTTCTGCTTGGCGTACCCCGGTGTTCAGCTCAAGTGGTTTGGGAACGAAATCACCTCGCGCACGGCCGATGGAATCGGCGTTCCGTTGCGAACGGTGGAGCGTGGACAAACCTTTGGACCACGGACGTGGAATTGAGGCTGGTGAAGGTGTGAGATGAACGTTGATTAGAGTACTTTTGCAGAAATCATTTTTCTAGTAATCTATGGGCTCAGTACTTTTGCTGTCCTGCCAAAATAGGTATGATGTCACTGCGTGCGGAGGTGGAGAGCCTAACATCCCCACCTTCACCTGGGGTAATTATCATCTGGATACGGAATACCTCTCTAGGAGATCTAACTAATAAATTAATGATGGCATAATTGGCATTGTGCAGATTATAGTACAAGTCATACTCAAAATTAGATAGCATTAAATGCGCGACTCTCTAATTTTCTTTTCTCTAAGAAAAAGATAAAGAAGAACAGTCGGTCCACCCTGAACACAGTGGTATGACATGGAATGATCTCTCTAGTCACGGAGTACACTGTACTTGCATGCAGTAGCTGTAAACTGATGCTATGGAGATCGAAATAGGAGTAAATTGAGCAACAACTACCAGCATTGATATCTTCTATCAGGAGCCAATGATCCTCTTGACATAGATAGTAGGAATTAGGAATAAGATAAGTGGGTGATTCAATGTTCACAAGACCCCAAACGGGCCAAACCCAGATCCCTTGTCCAACCGCCAAGGAAGCTAAATCCGAAGTCTCAGAACTAGTCAACGCCAGAACTTTCCCAGGGCCAGTCAGCTCGCGATTCCCGCCCGTGGCATGTCTACCAGGATTTGTTGTTCGGAGCCGGGGCTGAATGGCTGTGCTCTGGGCCCCATTGGAATGTGAAGGTACTGTACTTACGGAGTACGCAGTATTCGTACTCCGTACTGGATTCCTTGGAATTTAGTTCCACAACATATGGTCGTGGATCATACCAAGAACCCAGGTAGAAATAGAAATAGGTGGACGAGTTAGGCAGCCAGCAACCAAAAAAAAACATTCTGTGCTGTTTCATCTCACCTTTGCAGGTTTGCATTTTACATTTTGCGATCGCCGTAGATAATTGTAGATAGATACTCTGTCGAGAAAGGATCGGATGAGCTCGTGCTGTGGGTGATCCTGCAAATCACTGTAAATGGTCTGATTAAGGTGCACGCCAACTTTAAAGGCTGGATGGAGCGAACCCGAACCCCGCCATGAGTGAGGTGACGGACAGCGATCAGAAGACAGACAAGACACGGGTGTCGAGTAGATGATAAAGAGCTCGTTTGGGCGCAAGTGCGGCTCGATTAAATACCAGCTTTGAGTCTTTTTCTTTTTCCTCTCTGTTTCATTTCATTCCGTATTTTTGTCATCGTTCCGATCCGCGGTCGGTCACATTCTCAATCCATCCATCGTCACTAGCTAGTAGCTAGTTACTGTCTGTACTCCCGTTTCTACGGTACACAAGCGGCCAATCCGTTGTTCCCAGCCGAGAGCGCAGACCATCGACGAGTTCTGGAACGGAGCATGGGGCTGTCGTCAAGCGACGGAGAAATGAACAGTAAAAATCATCACATGGTCATCGTGCTTGGTATAGGTTTGGGAGTCGTCTCATTGATCATCATGTGTCTGCTGTGAGTCCTTTCCCATCACTATCTACCAAGCTGCGCTATGCAAGTAAGGTAGCTAATCTGACAGATTGACCATCTTCATCAACCGCCGCGAGCGAACGCCGACTTTCACGAAAAACAGAAAAGACCACAGCGATAAGCTGCGCAGATTGGACGCTGTCTCGCCGATCCGAACGCTGGAAGAATGGTGGTCCAAATCGAAAGGTCCTCTTTTGCCCTCCGAAGGGGCGGATGGGCAGTTTATCTGGTACGTGGACTTTCCATCGCACGCAGCTTAAGCGATCACGAAGCTCATCACCGGCTAACGCTCATCTTCCATCAGCGTCGTCTGTCTTGAATCCGTCCTACGCTCCCAGGAAATCCGAGAACTCAAATGCTTGCACGTCTTCCACAAGGAATGTCTGGATAAGTGGTATCTGCAGGACCACTTCAACTGTCCGCTCTGTCATCGCGCATATTATGTCCAGGAGTCGCGGCCCAGTCATGACTTCGTATGGATGGTATGACCGGAGTCGTGTGCTTTGACAATCGGCTGTCGTAGATTTCTGTTTCTTTATTTCCTGCACGGAGCCCGCGCTGGACGGGTAATGCTTACCAAAGACTTACGACTGTCTTATGATGTTATGACCAATGCAATACCTCACAAATGAACCGACGCCGATCAGACGGGAAACCCATCTCTCGATGGTAGATATTCGAAATTGAAATCCCACGTATCCGGATTATACCAGTCCAGGACGTTGTACAGGCCCGAGGTCGCGTCGTTGAAGACTTCGGCTTGCACAGGCTGTGGGTCGAGAATCTGATCGAGGATATGTGACAGTTTCTTCTCAACCTCCTTGCATGTCTGGTAATTCCCATGGCCGGGGCGCGCTACCCAGGACAGGCATGAGAGAAAGACGCTTAGGTTCCGGATGAGTTCGGCCCGCGGTAAAACGATGGCATGGGGTCCGACTTCCCGGCTCTGTCGGAGGAGCTCGAGTGTCAAGACGCTGGCTCCCGGGAGACCATAATAGAGGATCTGTACCTTGTCAGCCTTTGAAGCCACGAACAAACCGCACAGAGTGTCCCTACGATCCATGAGTAATGCCGGGTCATGTCCATCTGCGAATCTCTCTCCGCGTTGATTCTGATGATGGTTGACAGTACCTGTCTGGATGTTTCGAAAAGTGCCGCCTGACCGGTGTTGGTGTGTTTGACAAGCGTCCTCTGAACCAAGAAGACGGTGTACAGGTAGTCGAGATAGGTATGAAGTAACGCAAACGACGAGCAATAGATATCATTCTCCTCCACATCCGCACGAATATCGTAGCGCAGATAAGCAGGAGCCGTGTCCCATGTATTCCGTGCTTTCTCAACCAGGCGACTACAGGACGTCTCAGTAGTGGTAAAATGTTTGTCTTTGGGGTCTTACTTTGATTTCTCCACGAGATCATTCTGATCACCAGTGCCGAGCGCTAATTCCAGTGCCTCTTCTCGGAAGATGGCGAGTAGGAATCGAAGCCGAATTAGTGTAACGGGGTGGGCGGTCCCATAGACATGCCATCCCGCCTTGTCCAGATCCGATATTGCTTGCGTCAGAGTGCTGCCGCCCGCAAGTAGTATTTCATGACTGATATCCATGGGAGGAGTCAACGTGCAGTATCGGTAATTGATGAGGGGCGGCCGGCCCACAAATGTAGCAAGCGACTTGTCCGCATAGAATGCTGAAGCAAAACAGACTCTTCTCCATTGGCGTAGGAACCATGGGCAGTCATCGGTCTGAGTGCTCTCTTGATGGAGCCCGGCAGCGTAGATCGTGGCAGATAAATCACCCAGTCGACGCCAAGCTTGATAACCTACATAACGATCAACAAACCGTCAACTGTCGCAGTGGGTAGTTAGTCATACTGGAGTCTCCATATTGCTGTGTCCTTAACATGACGTCGTTGTACTGGTAGAAGCCCAGGAGTTCGTTCACCGACGATGCCTGATCACAGAAACCGAGACAGATGCCACTGGCCTCAACGATCTGAGCGCGAAGTCGATCTTTGGCCTCGCTATCAGGCGCTGCTTGAGTGAAATCAGGATCGCTGTCAGGTGTGGACATCAACGCTATTCCGGTAATTGCAAATATATTCCCCAGGGCTTCCCATCGGGAATTCCTTCCAGTAAAGGAGGATAAGTACTGCTCCACGGTCATCGAGCCATGAACGGTCAGCGGGCGAGAAGTATTCTGAAAAATCTGGTTGACCAAATCTTGAAACTGAGCTTCGAAGTCATTTGCATCTAAGCTGTCAAATATCCTTCGGATGGACTCTACGATCGAATACATAACGATTTTTGGCACGATGGTAATAACCGTCCGAGCATGGTACTTGCGAATCATGATATCGCAGACCGGAAGATCGTACAGCAATTTGAGCATTTCCGAGCCCATCTGCAATCGATCTGAATCAACAGAACGAGTGGACACTGCAGCCGCCGAGCTGTTGTCTACTTCAAAAGGGATGTCACTGCGATGCTCGGCAAGAACAGCTGAATAGCTGGTCGATCCAAGATATCCAGGAAGGGCCGATGGCGGCTCCACAGTCGTACGGAATCGACCATGTTCACGAGTTGAGCCAGGACTTGAGGCACTACGAACAGTCAGTCTCTACCATAAACGCACATCATCGCCCAGCCGGGACCACATAAAAGGGTTCTGAGTCCTGACTTTGAACTTGGCTGGCTCGTCCATCTCCTTGATGCTTCAATGGGGCTGGCTCGACTGGCGACTGTTCGCTTTGTCATAGGCGCAGGATGATAGAAGCATCGGCTAGCGATGTTCTTCGCCGTACAGCGGCCACACACCGGTCTCCCATGATCACAACGCAATTTGGCTTTGCGACAGGGCTCGCAGGACTGTAACGTTCCATTGCGACGGACTGCCGGCGATCGGGTTTGTCCTGCGATTTCGACCATCCTCGGCAGCTTGAAAGTATCTTATCTTCCGTCAAGAAAGTCTGGTGGACATGAAACCATCACAACCTTTTCTAGTTTAAGGTTAAGTTTCGATGGTTGATTTTATGCATCTGGAAGGATTATGGTGAGAATGAAACATGGTCATGTTGGCAAAAGTGGGCCTCAGGCTATCTAGCTCAATGTGGTTAGCGTGGTCGAATATATAGATCTCCAAGTCCTACTCCATACTGAAGACAAACTTCATCCGACAACAATACCCGTGAGGCTTACCCATTGATCGGTTATACTAGATTTATCAATGGAGGATTTACTACGACTTGCTCCTATGTCAACAATTGCCTTGATATGATGTCTTCCACCACAACCGGACCTCAATTTCTTCGCTCCACCAACAATGCCTCCCCGTAGTGGCTGATATCGTACCCATTTTCTTCCAGATACGCCTTGAACCGAGCGTCTTCGGTCTCTAGCTCACGGGATATGTCCGTGATCAGGAACCACGAACAAAGACCTCCAAGCACAGCAAACCCAGAACCAATCAAAAACACAGCCTACTGACCTTTGACGCTTGAATCGAAAGAGTTCCGGATCGGAGTGAATACTTCTGTCCCAATGGCAGCGCCAGCTTTGCCGACAGCTGCTGTCAATCCCATGAAGTGATCTCGAAGCGGGGTTGGGAAAGACTCTGAGGCGCAGAGGAAGGTTGATATGCCAGGGCCCATCTCTTGAAAAGAATTGAAAATGCCATACATCACAACGAATAAGGGGAATACGGACTGGATAGGACGGAGTGGTCCTCCCAAGACGAATCCCCAAATAGCGCAGAGCATGAATCCGAGGGTCATGTTTTGTTTATGTCCGATCCGATCCATCAGGAGCCCGCCCACTATGCAGCTCGGGAGATAGAAGCAATTGACCACCGTCTGCAGCACAGGCACAGAACGTTAATCAAGGTCATGATCGAGCGTAGCTTGCAGTGGATGTACTCACCCCGAAACCAATATTCTGAACCCGTGGTGTTATCAGGCCCGAGTTGAGAAATGATTGTGGAAGAAAAGATGCCAAAAGGGTATGAAATGAAGTCATAACAGAAACATGCAAGAGCTGGGACATCAGTCAGATTGACACGGATGGCTTTGAATCGTACGCTTACAGGTGCCCAGCATAGGTTTCCAGTCTCTCTTCAAGACAAGCATATATGGATATTTCGATTTGATGGCATGCTTCCGGTATAGTGTCGAATTGATCATGCGGATTCGCAGGAAGAAAATGAGAATGGGACGCTATTGCTTGTTGTCAGCAGCCAGCCAGCCTTAGCACAACTTTTTCCGAGGATATTTGCTTACCACAACACCAATGGTGAAGGACACACGCCATACGCCCCCTTTGACCTCTTGCTGGAAGCAAGCAAGAACAATCAGAGATACAATTCCTGCAGCCACGAACCCCTGAATTCAGTTAGCACCACATGCATGGCTCAGCTTCATCTATACAAACCAGGTCAATGGCAAAGTCAGTTGGTTATCCCGACCAAGAAGCCCCTCTTTCACCTCAAATCAGCAGTCTCGTCTGCTGCCTCAGTCGCGCTTGTGCCGCAGACAGGATACTCCCCGCCGGCGCCGAAACCAGCGATGCCGCGGGCGACAATCATTATCCAAAACATTCTATATTCATGTCAGTCGCTCTTTTGGGCGGTTTATCGGGTTGTGGGGGCCGCACCCTAATTCTGATGTCCCATGAGCAGCTGTGGCCAAGACGACGTCGAGGACCAGAAGTACAGTGGCTGCGACTACACCGGTCGTTCGACCTACTCGGTCGATGAGGACACCGAAGAAGAGCATTCCAAAGATCTGCCCGATAAGATAGGAATTTGAGAGCCGAGTCTTGATCATGCTGGACATGCCGTCCTTGTATCTGATCGGTTCGGGAGGGCAGTCAGTAAGACGAAAGACCGCAGAGCAATTTATGCTACCTTCAACCGTAAAGCTGAAGGTGATCTTCATGACCAGTACTATGAAGATCGCAGGAAAGCTATGGCCCGCTACGCACATGCGGAAGGAAGGCGAGTCGTATGAGGACGGTAGGGCGCGTTATGCATTTGGCTCGCCAATGCTGACTGTCAACGGTCGTGGAGCGGTTGTTGTATAGTCATTCTGTAGAATGGAACAAATGATCCTCTCGATGATAGCTAGGTACTCAACGTACGGGCCAGATGAAGCACAATGAGAGCATAGCTTGTAATAGGAACCGAAGGCACAGAGAGTCAGATATTACGATAACACACCAGAGTAGCATTCGATGAACGCACGCAGTCTAAACCAGCCGGTCAAAAAAGGTAGCTTGGACGAACAAATCGCACGTGGATAGCGTGAGGTCAACCATATAAGTAGCTGCATCCCAGCTCGTGCCGGGTCCTGTTCTTCCCGCAGGAGCATCACACCCAAGCCCACTCCTCTCCTCTCCTGCACCTCAAGCCAAAATGCCCCCATCAACCCCCCTCGAGAAAGCAAACCGCCTAATCGACTGTCTCGAGCAGCACGGCCAAGGCGACTATATAGGTGAATCAATTAGCCAGCTCGAACACTCCCTCCAAGCCGCCCACCGAGCAAAGAAAGCAGGTTAGCAGTACTCACCCTCCCCCAAAGCAGTCCAACCTGACTTCCCCGAAAGGAGCAACGGACGACCTCATGCTCGCCGCCCTCCTCCACGACATCGGCCGAATCATCCCCCTCGACTCAACCCGCGAGATCAAACTCCGCATGCAGACGAACAACAACAACCAGTCCGTCGGCCGCATCGGCCACGAGACACTAGGCGCGGAGTACGGCGAGACAGTCTGCAGATTAGTAGGGAGCCATGTCCCTGCGAAGCGGTGCGTAGCCAGTCGCCTTGCCTTGCATTGCCATTGCAGATCAATTTACGAAGAGCTGATAGGCTGACATGACAGTCGCAGATATCTCACTGCAGTAGATAGCGCGTACTACGATTCACTGTCTGCTGCGTCGAAGATGTCGCTTGAGGTCCAGGGGGGTCCGTTTAGCGGGGCGGAGCTGGCGGCCTTTGAGGCGGATCCGCTGCGCGAGGTGATGGTCTTGTTGAGGCTTTGGGATGATAGAGCCAAAGTTCCGGGGATTGAGGGTTTGACGCCGCGGGCGGGGAGTATCTAGGGATGGTTGTGGGGCATTTGGAGAGGGAGGCAGGAGCTGACTAGCTGGACATGTAGATGATGATTTGTTTAGCGAAACCAAACAGATGGAGATGCCGGAACAGGGTCGTTGATTAGGGATGTCTTGGTGGTATTTCGGGTTCTTGTAGACTAGGTCTTGCAACGTCACCAACTCCGTGGGTCCAATATATGATAGAGGAAAGACTAGAATTCTCATGAATATGCATGTCGTTGCTTAAGCGTAAGGCTTTAATGTATTCATTCGTTCATACAAGGGTATAGACGGCATAATGCGTTCATCTAATACTTCCAACGCAACCTCAAACACGGTGCTCCACGTTTGTCACAGAGATACCGGTTTCCTCGCCCTTCTCGGCCACATTCTCGGGCAGAGTGCCCAGAGCGCGGCCGCCGAACAGCAAATCAATCTCTTCCAGGGACTTCTGCTTGGTTTCCTTGAAGCAGAAGTAGATGACCGGCAGGGTAACGCAAATGTCTAGACAAGATACATTAGCCCGTTTCACGACGATGACACCTTTTGGGGAGCAAACTTACTCCATGCTACGAAGACAAAGTAGAACTTCCATCCAAGCTTGCCCAGAGCAATAGGAGAGACTTGGGCCCAGAGAGTAGCCACGGCCCAGTTACCGATACCTGTCGCGAAGGCGTTTCCTTTACCACGAATCTGCATGGGCATGACCTCGGACATGTAGACCCTTGATTGCAATCAGCTAGCGTCGTCGAAGTAGAGTGACGAGAATACTTACCAACTGCAAGGGCCAAAGGACAGAGAAAATATGATGGTCACGCAGAAGAGGAATGCAACACCACCGATACTGTAGCCATGGCGGCTACCATCCACATTCTGCGAGTTCAATGCTGCTTCACAGATCAAGGCAATGGAAATTCCGATGGCACCAAACATCATGGGCCTGCGCCGTCCTACTCTGTCCAGAACGAAGATGATGAAGAACAAGTTCGCGAGAGGACCAACGCAGTTGTAAATACCGGCAACTAGCGTGACTCTGTTCCCTGTGATACCGAGCGACTCATACATAATTGTTTGATAGTAGCCGATCACGTTGACACCGGTAAATTGAGTGAAGACCTGCACGGCGACACCATGCCTATATGATGTGGTTAGCGACGGTGCTTATAGCAGGAAGGTCGACAGCCAGGTGGCGGCCGTGGGGAGGGCGTACATCAATCTGGTCCGCCACTGAGGGACTTGGAACATGATGAGCCAGCCAGGCGCCGTGACAGCCTTCTCGGCATCAATAGTGGCTCTGATCTCCGTGTATTCGGTCTGAATCCAGTCGTCATTGGTACCGTCATAGTGCAATCTCTTTAAGATCCTCATCGCCTCGTCGTACTTCTCAGTCTCGACCAAGTATCGAGGGGACTCTGGCATGAAAATCATGCCTACAACGAGAAGCAGAGCAGGAACGGCTTGGAATGCCAAGGGGAATCGCCATTGGAACGAACTCGTGTCTGGTGCGTGGAGTGATCCGTAACCGACCCATCTGCCGGGTGTCAGCAACCCTTGGAGATCACAAAGGGAAAGACCGTTACGTACGTGCTGACGATGAAACCAACTCCAATCATCTGCTGCGCCAGTCCAACAATCAAACCACGAGAGCGAGGATGGGCACACTCGGCCTGGTAGACGGGCACGGACATGGACATAAGACCGACAGCCCATCCTGCGAGGATACGGCCGACCAGGATCATGGCCAGGTTCATTGCCGCAGCCTGAAGAATTGCGCCGACGAGACAGATGACAGCGCCCATCTGGATGGTGAATTTACGGCCGAACCGATCCATCGTCAGACCTCCCTGAAGGGCCCCAATGGCGGCTATCGCAGTCTCTGTCAGTGAACTAGCAGAATTGCAGTAGGAAAGGGAAGACATACCGCCTCCATTGAATGTACTGTTAATGGCACCGATAATGACGGAGGTCTTGTTGGTGTTGAAGAAGGCGAGGAAATTAGGACTCGCGATAACATCGGTCATCACACCGGCATCGTATCCTTTTAATAAGCGACTTAGCCAGAAACTCAGGTAGGGTGGATATGAAGATGTGTGTTTTTGTAACTGAGAAGAGACAAAGGCGTCTCAACCCTCCAGAATCCACACGAAAAGGGTTTGAAAAGTATCATTGCTGAACTTACCAAAGAGAAACGACCCAGTGGCTGCAAAAGCAGCCAGACTCATGGTGAAAAGTCGCCCCATTTTGCTACACTTAAAGATAGCAATACTAAAGACAAGCAAGAAGCGGAGTGCACCTGGGGGAGCAAAACCGGCTGGCCGTTGGGGGAGCAAGCCATCTCTATATAAAATCTAGATTCAGCCATTCGCGACGAGCCATCGAATAATGAAAAGGCTTGTGTCGCAGAAACCAACAAAAGTAGCGAGAGGCCATCGAAGCGAGCCATGCCAACTTGAGAGCACAGCGAAGGACAAGTGGGGAGAAAACCTCCAGATCCGGGGATTGCGGGTTAAAGATCCAAGCTAAGGCTCTCAGCAGCCGACAATTCAGCCGGACAGTCCACTCGAGGCATTCGCTTGCTGCTCTGACACTCCTGCGGCAGGGAAGAATGATGTGGTGTGATTGGTGCAATAAATAAAATTGAGACTAACATCTGACATTTATCCTCCCGTGTTCCTATTGATCGAACAACCATGCCCAAGCCAGGTATATCAAGGAGATTTCTCCGTTTAGACTATGGTCAACCAAGCCAAGCAACCACATGTCTTCAAGGCTGGCGTGCGCCATTGTCATTTTACAGTCGACTCCGGTGGCATGGCCTAGTTCTGAGTTATGTTCTACTTGGAATGGCGGATTCAGGCTATTGAATTCCGTACGGCTGCCTACGGAGAAAGCTGAGAGATCCACTCAAGCGGCTGATGAAGCTGAAATTCCAACTGCAAAAGAGAGAGAAGATCTTTGGATCATATATAATAGGTGGACAGATCTTGAAAGTCGTTCAACTAGCTGTTCTGGATGTCCTAGGTGGCTCAGAACTTCAGGTCCAACATTAGAAACCAGGGAGAGGTAGATCTTCCTAGATAAGAGCTGAGTGCCTAAGGCCAAGTCATGTGGTCAAGGGCGTGGACTGTCAGTCATGTCATCACGTGATCATGACTGCCAGTTTGTGCACGTGATAACGCGTCGAGCGCGTTGGCCAGCTTCCGCGCCAAACACGCTCAACTTTCCACCCGGCGTAACTTGTGACGGAAAGCTTCGTCGGTGGAAATGCCGCAGCAGTAAGGAAAATGAGCACAAGATCAGGTGGTCATCATTTGAATGATTTGAATGCGCTTCAAGGCAATTCGCACCCATAAAAGCTGAGGCCCATCGGCCGCAATTGGTAGCATATTGTTCCCTTATTTTAGTGTCCTTTCCTCGCTCGTCAATGCAGTGGAACAAGACGACGTCGTGATCCCAATACAATGTCGTATGAGCCTGAGGTTGATACCTGTAATGTAGAGTCCGTAGGCAATACGTCAGGTTATCAATGGACTGGAGGAGTGGAAGTCACACACGTAACAATCTGTCAACAGTAAGGCAGTGATGGACAACCCCTCACTGATGCAATAGGTTTGTATAGATAGAACTAGAGGTCAATACATTATCAGCCTACGCATTCTTTATGTTGGCAACCAAGGACCAATTGGACCCAAATCAGGAACTGTGGAATCTGTCGACGCCAAAGACACCTCGTGCGGGCGGGCTGGATCGGCCGGACTACCGCGCGGGCGTATAGTAAGGTACCTTGGGACTAGCAACGCCGTACTACAACGCCTCCACGCTGTGCAGTCCGCGTCCACATCGCGACGCGATTAGATGAAGCGCTTTTTTCCCACCGCACCACTAAGAGATCTAGTCCACTCCGGATCTCTCATCCAATTCCCCATTCTCCTCCATATCAATGTTCTGATCCTTGGTATTCTACGGCTCTCTTTTCCGTTACTGCTCTTATATTGGTTTCCAATTCCCCCATGCCATACCGATCTTGAATTCTATCGACCGGTGGCAGTGTTGAGAACATGTCGAATCCCGAGCGTTCTGCTGCGGCATGTTCCTCCTCTCCGCCAACCGTACAGACTTCTGAATCTGCTACTTTGAACTATGCCTTCCTCGTGCACTCCCAGAAGACCCTCACCCAGAACCTTCCCCCCCGAGTCGACAACAAGCTGCTTGCTCGTCAGAAGCGCCGTCGGACAAGGTATATATGAGCTCAATTCGAATCTGAAGTGGTCAATTGCCATTGATAGGCTCTGCTTGAACCATCTCCGCTAATTGCAGTCCAATTGCTGCCGTATAGTCCCGAGGACCACGCAATACTCGAAGCCGAATATCAACGCAATCCCAAACCAGACAAGACAGCGCGCGCCGACATTGTGAGTCGCGTCTCGTTGGGAGAGAAGGAAGTGCAGGTATGATCTCGAGAACAAGCACGACGCGTCGTCAGACACTTTAGTTCTGATCATGCAACGCTCCAGATCTGGTTCCAGAATCGTCGTCAGAATGACCGGCGAAAGTCCAAACCCCTCCAGCCACACGAACTTCTCGCCCCTCGATCGGACGTGTCTAGCCCTCTAAGACAAACTACAAGCGACGACAGCCCTTCTGCGGAGCCAGGATCATCGAGTGGGGGAGAGCAGTACGATGGCCAGGAACAAGACAGGGATCTTGCAGAACTGCCTTTGGAAGATGGCGTGCCGCAGTCTTCCTACGAGTCGGTAGAAAGTGGAGGCAAGGACGATACGGCACAGCTTAGTTTGAACTCACAGACAAGCCTGTCGTCGCAATCAACCGAAAACAGTCAAGAGCTCCATAAGGCCATTCCCGACACAACGTCGACCCAGCAAGATAACGACACGCCACTGGATGACACACAACTCTCTGCCAAGAGAAAGCGTTCCATTTCAGACCTGCGCGGAGATGTCCCAACCACACTTCATCAGCAGCAGCAGCAGCAGCAACAAACTCCTGGCGGCCTACAGGTTCTGAAGTCGCCACCATCCCTACGTCTGTCACTGTCCTTTGACGGAGAGGCAATGGTACGAAGGGAAGGCGAGTTGACACCGTCTCCCCCGAAAGGACGCAACTCTCTGCGGATCGCCATGTCTTCGGATGGGAAAGCTGTCATCCGCACAGAAGATGAGCCATCCCCGTCCAAAGGCCGCATTTCCATGTTTTCGACAAGAAGCTCCCGATTCGCAGGGTTGCGTAGAAGCAGTAGTGCGGTGGTCCTTGGGACACCTCGGGTTGGCGCCATGGAGAAGGAGAAAGCCTTCGGAAGATCTCGAGACCCTCGGAACTGGGAATCATTTTTCGACACCGACGCAAGAAGCGCGTTGTCGACTCCAAGCAGTTCTCAGAGTGCTCCTAACTCTGCCTCCCCTAACCTCATGCTTGCCCCTGGTCAACGCTCATTGACCCGAAGCTTATCAGCAAGACACACAAATATGTCGACTTCGACCACCAACGATTACCTCAACACTCCGATTCCACAGCATGCGGGTGAGAAGCGGCGGAAACTCTCGCGTACTGTCTCCTCCCTTGGCCGACTTGAGTCTGGCTTTAGCAATCTCAACAGAACACCATCGGGCACATATAAGATCTCCAAACTCCGTGATACCATGAAAGATAAGGATGATTTGGATATCGAATGCGGCGACTCGGACAAAGAGAACTGGATTCCTGGGACCCGAGTCTCACATGTTCGGCGGCGAGCCGCCTCCCACCATCAGTCTCAGCGCCCGGCGCTCAAAGAAGCCAATGGACGAGATGGCAGGATAAACAGGAATCTAGCCGCAACAAGCAGACGTTCCCGAATTCCTCATCCGTCGCACCGCAAAAGCATCAAATCCATGCCAGAGCTTGATGCGGATGTTTCAGCTTTCATGGCTGGCGGAGGAGTTGCAAGCCAAGAAGAAGACCTTGACTGTGTTCAAGGTCTATTATCCTTGAGTCAAGGCGCTTGGAGGTAGACTTCATATTCCTCCTTAGCTTTGTCTCTATGATACCACTGATTTCCTTTGTTCTTTTTCTTTTGTCCTATACTTCTTGACGTTCCTTTCTGCTCATGTTGGATGTCGCAAGCAAGCGAGGAGTGGTTCCATGTATGATGTCGGAGCGAGGCTCATCTTGTAATGATTGAACTTTCTTTGCTTTGTGGACATAAGCCTCGGTTGTACGGAACATCCAGCTTGCCCCTTGGAGGCAGTGGCCACTTATTTGTGTTGACCACGATGATGATGAAACCCTCGTCATGAGATAGCCAAGCGATATTGATGTCAAGCAAGCTGTCGCTAATCAGACGACGAGGACGAATATAAATATTTCAATAGAACACCAATCCGTAGAGCACTGCATTATTCTGATCCAGATTCAAGTGCTGAGGGGTGGTTGAAGTTGGCACCTCCTGGTGGCAAGAAGAATGCAGGATGGACGCACGTGGTCCGCCGGCTGACTGATAAGGAATGCATCAAAGCGTTTGCCCCGTCTCTTTTGATATATCAGCAAGTTGTCTTCATCCCTGATCTTCTTAAGGCAAAAAGCTCGAGGACCTGGACAAGCAGGTGTATATAGTGGAGAGGTAAGTCTGTACGAGTCGTGCTTTGTTTTATCCTCGTATTCTCCAGCACAAGGTGTCTCGGCTTTTGAGTGATCTTGTCAAATGCCCCAGCCCATACAACAACATCTATGGCATCGAATACTAATATATTGAATCATTTGGATGATTGAGAGTGTCATTTGCTCCTTTTCTTGTTTGATACTGCTTACGTTGTGTTCTTCGATTTGCGTCTGAGCGGGCGCAGGCCTCCGTCTTGTATACAATCTAATATTGTCCATGCAAGAACAGCATCAGCATACTTCCCGGCTTATTGTACTTATCATAGAACCGTGCTGACCGCGAACTGACAGAATCCTTATCTCCAGACCGCTCCTAGCAAGAACATTGCAATATTTGGACGTCAGAGTAGTCTGTTGCCACATCGTATTGCCACAATGGGCGGAGGCCTCAAAGTGGCTATTGTCGGAGCTGGCTTCGCTGGCCTACGGTGTGCAGATATACTAGTCCAGAATGGTGCGCAAGTTACCATCTTTGAGGCAAGAGATCGACTTGGAGGGCGGGTGCGTTCACAAGCACATTGATTTCAGCAAATCAGTTACTGAATCCAAACAGGTTCATCAAACAAAGATCGGAGATCATCTTATAGACTTGTGAGATGCCCGAACCCGCCTGCTTAGAAGAGTCTAAGTTAATTTGACGAAAGGGGCCCTAACTGGATTCATGGTACGGAGAAGAATCCCATCGCTGGCGTGGCAGAGGTGACCGGAACGACTATCAAGGATTTCGAAGGCGAGCAGATCATTTTCGCCAGAGATGGGAAGCTCGTCGATGAGGCCACCTCGACCAAGATCTCCGAGTTCTTATGGAGCACGATAGACGAAGCCTTTGAATATAGCAATGCGCACAAGGATGCCATTGCACCTAATCGAAGTCTGCTTGACTTCTTTAAGGAGAGAGTCAACAAAACGGGCCTAAGCCCTGAGGAAAAGGAACTCTGTATAGAGACATGCAAGCTGTGGGGAGCGTACGTTGGTGACTCTATTGAGAGACAGAGTCTCAAGTTCTTCTGTCTCGAAGAATGTATAGACGGGAGTACGCGCCGCATCTTCCCTATGGCTGCTGTCTGCTGACATTGCATCGCTAGACAACTTCTTCATCGCATCTACATACAAGAAGATCCTGGACTACGTTTCCAAAGCAGCCACCCAACATGCCGACATCCGCTTCAACCAGCCGATCACCAGAATCGAAACGGACTTCCGAGAGAACTCGAGCGCCGCTCGCAGAGTGATATTGACAACCGCAGCCGGCGAATCTCACCAATTCGACGAAGTAGTAGTGACCTGCCCCCTCGGCTGGCTGAAACGCAACAAGTCCGCCTTCCACCCGGCACTACGCCCTCGACACCTGCAGGCCATCGACAGCATCTCCTACGGCCGACTGGAGAAGGTATACGTGACATTCCCACGAGCCTTCTGGCACGCAGACGCAGAAGCCGGGCTGAACGGCCCGGACCCCAAAGGCACCGCTCACCACACCAATCCCACCTTTGCGGTTTTCCACGATCCAACCTACGCCGAGCACCCCGAAGGCATCCTGTGGAACCAAGAGTGTATATCGTTTGCCGGCCTCCCCGACGAATGCGCCCACCCCACGCTCCTCTTCTACACCTACGGCCCCTGCGCCACATATATCGTCTCCAAGATCGCTAATCTCGACCCCTCTTCAGACGAATACTACACCTTCCTCGACGGCTTCCTGCGCCCGTTCTACTCCCGCCTGCACGGGTACTCGGCCTCCTCGACCGACTGCAAACCTCTCGCCTTCGTCGCCACCCAGTGGCAGAACGACCCCTACGCGGGCAACGGCTCCTACTGCAACTTCCAGGTAGGTCTTGAGCAGGGCGACAAGGACATCGAGGCGCTGCGGGGCGATATCGGTCCCGAGCGCGGGGTCTGGTTTGCGGGCGAGCACACGGCGCCCTTTGTGGCGCTGGGGACCAGTACGGGTGCGTACTGGAGTGGGGAGCGGGCAGCTGGGGAGATATGCCAATATCATGGGCTGGGTAGATTGGGGATTGGCGCTGGACGAGACGATTCGCTCCCTTCGGCTGTGCCGAGGAAGATTGCGTCGTCTGGTTGAGCTGCAGATGGTTGGATATTCGAGTTTTGGGACAATGTTGGGGAATGGCATCTCAAGTATATAGTAGGTAGTATGTTGTACTTTGTTCATACTTCGTGGTATCTAATTTCGAGACGCACATAATATCGATCAATATTTGGATTCGAGCAAGTATTTACACAAAGACACTTGTGATGACCAGCATCCAAAAACACAAAGCCATCCCATACCTGCAACCCAGCAAAGAAAGATGCACTGCAAATAGGGGAATCAAAGAAACAGTCTTAGCCACGATACCAAGAGAGCCAAAAATAGGACGTTCAAAAAAAAAAACCTGCTGAACACCTCGCATAATCAGTCGCAATAGCCTGCGCCCCCAATATGAAACGACTGAGCATCGCCGGACCAGCGTGATACCCGAACCGCACCTTCCCAGACACACAGACAAGCGAACAACCAAGGTACCGTACAGTAAACAGAACAAATGACAATCTGGGTATTCACAAACTCCTCGTATGAGCGTCAAAGAAAAAGCAATGTCCAGGATTTCGTGTAGCGTCCCGAACCAAGCAATAGTATGTATGATACAGTGGTAGGATGGCTATGTGAGTATTTAGCCAAGCTGCAAGAGAAAAGCGATAGAATAAGCAGGTGTAGGACAGATGTGTCGGTCAAAGTATGTCCCCAACACCAGCTTCTCCCAGACGTGTAAAGATGCGTACAATCGCGACAAGCGAGTCGTTCAGACACCTCACACAGCATTCAAGGGCCGAGTTTGCGAAGCGCACAACTTATGAGCTCGAGCCCTCGAATTAATCTTCCCATATCGTTTCGAGGTCAAGATCTTGCCGACGTTCCGCTCCACAGACACTCCAGCGCTTCCTCTTGTCGATCCTCGCCCCATAGACTCCTGAGCCGCCTCGCATAGGGCCAGGAGAACCCGCAGGACTCAAAGCATCAGATGCACCACGGCGCCTGCTCCCGTTGGCTGCCGCCTCCGCTTCGTCTGCCCTATCTGCGGCAGCCTTGAGCGCTGCAATTCGGTCGGCTTCGATGGCTGCATCCTCGGCATCAGGAATATCTGGGATGGTCTCGAGAGAGGATATGCTCGGACTGCGCGATCGGAGGCTTGTAGGAGTCGATGGTACTGACGACGTAGAGGAAGTCGAGTATCCCGGGAAGGCTTCGTTGAATTTTGAGCCGAGGACCACTGGTGACGAATGGATCGAAGAGGGACTGCTAGTAGGCTGGCTGATCGAAGTCGCACTGGGGAAGTGAAGGGGTGATGATGGTCGTCGGCGCCCGACACGCAGGTTGTGTGATGCGACGGGAGATGTGGTGGAGGATTCCCCATGTGGTGGTGACTTCATGGTTGTGTCAAGCTCAGCATGCTCTGAGATAGTCTCTGAAATGTTGAGAGGCGCCATCCTAGCTTCGAGGGAGTCCCTCGAAGGTATCTGCAGAGGTAGATACCGTCTCGGAGTATTATCATTCTGATGCGAAGGTGCATCTCGACCATTGACGAAGATATATCGCCCTCTGGAGTCCAGCCCCGGGGACGAGTGAGCGCGCGTCATTGGAGGGACACCCGAGACCTCCGCCAACGACCGCGAGCGATAATGGGCGCGGGGGAAAGTCGAGCGACTCGGCGGAGCGACCGGAGGATCGGGGGTAAGAGACAAGGTTATCATGACGTTGTCGGACCGCTCTGACTTCCCAGTAGCCTCCTTAATCGCATTCGCGGTGCTTGCCGTGTTGACTGGTTCGACTTCGACTGTTCTGGCAGCGCGGGGCGGAAGAATGCGCCCCTCTGAGGAAGGACGGGAAGCTTCCATGTCTGTCTGAAAACAGAAATGTAACGGTAAAAATCTGTCTTTCGAACTAGATCGACCTCATGCTTGACTCTGTACGGGAACCATGAGAGTGAATCGATCCAAGACGGTCCAGACTCTCGTGACCCAAAAAAGGAAAAGGATACGGAGTTTTGACGAAATCGATTATACCCCTGGCGATGTTATTATCCTCCAACAAACCCATCCAACACTTAGTTGTACCGACGACCAGGGGAGAAGGGTACCTCGTACGCGAGGGAGAAAGGGGGATTGATGGGAGATGTAGAGTTGAGTGGTGAGATTCGAAGAAGCTGGAAGAATCTGAAGCAGAAGAAGAGCAGCGAAACCGCGGCGTGATCAATCGGTTGGAGAAGAGCGGACAGAAGGAGGAGGAAAGAGAGGGAAACCACCCACGGGACGACTCGTGATAGCAATAGCAGTGACGATGCGCGAATCACGAAGAATATGTAGCTTTTCAGGTGGAAAGAAAATTCTTTTCTCGTTCTCTCCTTGCGAATCAATTCATGCCCAAAATTTCCCTCGTTTGTACTGGTCGCTCGAATATGGCCAATACGTGATCTGTGCTCCTCAGCCAGGGGCACCCTTCTTCGGAGAACAACGACTGTAAATCCCTCCCTAGGCAGCGATTTCTCAGCCTGATAGGGCACATATTTTCTAAGATTGCGTGCAATAATGAGCAGAGGTTGACAGGAAATCTACAATCGCGCTGGGACCAACGAAGAGAAAAGAGTGTCTCTCTACCAACACCTTTGTCGACAGCTCTGGGCAAGAACAAGCGACGAAATCTGCTATAATGAAGATGATTGCGACTTGTCTAAAGAGTTGAATAATCAAAGCTGGCCTTGAATCCCTTACTCTGGACTTTACAGGTCGGGAAAGCCTGTTGTAAGGAGCTACTGACGATCAACTACTACTCAGTAATAAGCACTCGGCGCATACACAGCTAGCTGATGTAAGAAGTAAGTAAGTATTATGAATTATGACATTAGCCAACATCCTGAATATCAGAGAGTGATCATCCAATCTAACACCTTGACAACTATTAGAAATGGGAGGGACTATCATGAGAATGGAACGACGTGAGCGATGCGGTAGACTACGATTTTGGATCCTTGATCAGGCATGTGCCTCTTTGCACATCTTCGACACGCTCTTGCGGACGTACACTTCGCGTACAGGATCCCCTTCGTGGTCTTTAACTACCCATTCTCCAATGCCATACTCCTCTGGAGCTCGTTTGACACCGCGTCCGCCCCCGCCGACGATTAGGTTGCCCGGTCGGTACTCGGGATTGGCCTTCATGCGGCGGATGGCTGAGACATGGATTTGAGCATCCTTGGGAATATCTCGCACCTCTCCACAGGGAAGAGGCCACCGGATCGGCTTCCAAGAGCCGTCGTCCTGCAGGTCCATGCGACGGAATGGAAGATACTCCATGATCCGCCACGACAACACTGACGTGAACGGCAGCCCATTGCCGTAAGCCAAGCAATCATGCAAGAGTCCTTTCGCGCTGGACTCGTACAGTGCTTCCAAAAATCTGCGCTTGGATTTAGACACGTTCTGTTCGTCCTCCTTTCGGGCGAATCTCATGTGCTCATCATTATCTTCTCCATGGCTGGGATCTTGGCACATATCCATGTTCTGCTCCCAATGGAGATGCTCATGCAAAGGCGACATCTCCCCATCATACTCCTCGCAGCATTCGAACTGTTTGAGCTTGCGCGGGTCAAACTGAAGGCCCGCGCGCTGTGCCTCGTGTACCATCCAAACCAGTGGTGCATGACTAAGAGGCCATTCTTCGCCTTCGCCAAGTTTCCAACCTCCTCCGATGTCCGCGTGTCCGCCCGGGAACCAGACCTCTTGAATGTCCTGATGCCTTTCATCTTCGTCATCTTCATCGTACTCGCTAGGAGCCCGACTTCCTGCTTCCGGTACCGGAAGGGAAAGCATCGAGTTACCACTCTTGACCGATGCTAAATCTTCTGTAGATGGGTTCATCATAGGTACAGCCAATCCGAGTTTCTTTCTCTTCAACGGTAAGGATGAACGATAATGATGTGCACTGCGAATGCTTCCGGCACGCGACCCATCTGCACTGCGGTAGACGGATTCAGTTTCCTCCTGGCCCTGGCGGCCTGGTGCGTCTTGCGGCCCAGTCTCCTCCTTGGCCTCGTCGTTCACGACAATGGATGGTAGACCATTCGGTTTCTCTGACTCAGGATCCTCCTCATGACGGAAGTGATGCAGGTGTCGCTGCCAGCGATGAGGACCTCTCCTTTTCATGGACCATGGTTTGACCTCGGAGATGAGATCCTGTCGAAATTTGGCTCGTCGTTCGTCAATGCCTACGGCATGTCGGATAACCCTGGCAGAGCTGCGAGCAGTGTATGGGAATTTGCTTCTCTGCATCCAGGCTGACTCGAACCTCGGCACGCTGTTGACCGTGTCGAATAGACCCATGAATTTGATACGACTGATGGGTCTGCTAAATGTTTCACGGAAAGCCTTCATGAATCGGAACAGGTTTTTCTTCTCCTCCTTTTCCTCTTCACTATCCCCGCGTCGACGCTGTTGCCATTTGGCGAAGGTCTTCCATGCGAACCTAGTCAGCTCCTCATTTCCCGCTTCAAGTAAGCCGATAAAATCAAGCATCTCCGCCAGGAAGCGCGCAATATAAGCACCGCGACTGAAACCAATAAAGTAAATCTCGTCGCCGGGGCATAGTATCTCATGAGGAATTTATAACCACCCATGACATGCTGGTCGAAAGAGGAACCCACGGCGGAGTCCTTAGCTTTCAGGTAGGCCGACTTGATCCGGTGGAATCGCCCATTACTGGAAAAGGAGTTCGATGTCACGTAGGTGCCAATACCTGGCTGGTAATAATGGTACTGGTGACTCTTACTGCGATCTAGCATCTTTCATTCAGGAACCCTCTGTAAGTACACGCGTCGACAGACTACGCACGGCCTGGGGGACGACTCACTCGGAAGATCTTGAGCACATTGCTGTCTGATTCATCGCCGCAAAACTTATTACCAGTACCATCAAAACAGAGGACAAACTGCTTTGGGATGGGTGCCGGCCCCAGCGGTACTGCGTCCATGGTTCGGCGCAGGTATAACGGAACTTGATGCTCCCTGCGCGATCACTTGGCTGATTGTGAAATCAAAAGCAAGAACAATCGGAACAAATGACAAATTAATCCCCGACTCGTGGAGAACGAAGCTTATGTACACAGTTTGTTAGTTCCAGAGACTCCCACATGCAACTGCAGGTAAGAGTTGCTTGGCTCGCACTTGATAGTGTGATACCAGTAGAAACCGGGATTGGGCTTTGACACCTTGGACAGATCCCAGAAGACAGCGAATAATCGTCAAATCTATGGTAACACAGTCCTCGACATCCAGGAAGGAAAAGAGTCAAGACGTAACTGTCCCTGCAGGCCGTGACATCCAGCCATCGCCCGGAGCTAAGCAACAAGGGAAGCTCGTTCCTCCCACGCGGATCAACATGGAGGGGTAGATAAAAAAGGAGCGGTCCACTCGAAACATTCTTTCTTTTTTAAACCAAACTGGTTCAGCCCGCTGAGAAGCGAGGCATGAGAGCGAACAGAACTCTTGTTGGTCAAAGCAGCGGTGGTTGGTGGGGCATTTCTCACAAGTTCAAGTGTTCAACTCACTCCCCGAGTATCTACCTACGCGGCAAGCGGCTTGAACACTGGCGGACACAGAACACAAAGTCCGTATCGTATTAGAGCCTATCATACAGTCCGTAATGTGATTTTGCATGCATCCACCTGTCAGATTTGTCAAAGATAGCATGACCGGAAAGTATAATCGGAGTATCTTCCTCCGCTTGTGGCCGTGTCTCGCCCCTCTGTGACGCGGTTTAATTTTGATCGCCTGGAAAGATGGTGTAGTAGTGTTGACGATCGAGGTGGCAGGTAATCTTGAACAGGATTTGGGCCATTAGAATATCTGTGATATTAGTTATTACCCCAGAGGATTTTTCGATACTTAGAAGGAAAAATCCGTGTGACAGAGGCGCGTATCGAATGGATCGCTTTTCCATCGAGAGGCAGTAGACGAGGATGATCTTTCCCCATTGATACCATCTGGGTGGAGATTACCGAGACCATGGCTGGCTGTCCCAGGCCAGGCCTAGGAGCACTTTAGCCGGGCCCTGCACAAGAAGGACACTGGACAACAATAGTTTCATGCAGGAGTGCCAAAAAAAGGAGAAAAGTTCCTGCTGTGCAAACGAGGGACAAAGGGGTCAACGAAGTCTAGCAATGGCCGGCTGATGATCCCGGATGAAATACTCCCTCTGGTGGAGGCAATCAAAGCATGCGAGCTGCAGTTTCCTACGCATGATTTTATGGACTGCATTTTGAAGATTCCATCACTCATTAGTCATTGGCTAAGGGCTAAATACGTACTCTTTTTGTCTACTCCGTCTGATCGCAGGAGTACCTTATGAGTATGGCCCTTCTGATGAGAAACTGACTATGACAGCCTCAGAACCTTGGATCCTGAGGTGTCTCCGCCGAAGTGGGACCTGGCTGCCTGGGGCCGGCCACGAACCATTCGGGAGCTGCCGATCGTCTCCCCTCGATCCACCAAGACGGGCTGGGAGGGTTCGTCCAGCTCTGCTCGTATGGCCTCGGTCACTCGGACGATCGCATCCCAAACGAACCTCTTCCAAAAGCAAGGATTTATTCTCTTGTTGTCTTGATGAGACATCTCATTGTCATCATCGTGAAGTGTCCAAACAGGGTCTGATATATACACAGAAGTACATATAGAATGTCAGGGTTTCTGTCCGTGTTTGCCCAAGTACTCAGTAAGCTAGCTGCTCTCCTTGCTGGACAAAGCACGAACCTACCCCTCCCCCTTGTCACCGAATTCTCTAAACGCAAGCCACGAACCGTGTATCTTACCAACTACGTATCTGTACCAAGTATCTGCCTACTCTATGTTGCTAACTTGCTGATCATCCACTAGCTTGTCTTCACGGCAGCTGAAGGAGGCACGCTTTTGTCATCCACTCTTCGGGCTTCAGAATAATCCTCCATCAGTCGCACTGACACAATTAAATCCCGACCAACAAATCTCTTGGACTCATACCCATAACACCTTGTACATCTAACGGTGTCGCATAGGACAGCGGTCGGTGAGAAAGTTTCTATTGCCAGAATCCCTTGCTTTCCAAGATAGAAGACAGAGACTGACAGACATATTACGCCGTACTAAACCTTTGCTCTCTTGGTGGCTGAGAGTCTGAACCAATTGAATACGTACGTAGGTATTGATGTCTGTCAGCTATCAATGTACGGAGTAGCTACAGGTCATCCTAGCCTGACGAGTGAAATGGTGGTGACCCCGTGTTGCGAACGTGTGGGTACCGCAGACTAGTCCTCACACTAGGAGCTCAGTAGTTGTGACTAGTCTACTCATGGTCTGTCCCTAATGAAATTTCTGACTTCAGTAAAAGTTTCGGCTGTGGGTAGTCGATCCGATTTCGATTACGCTTCTGATCACCACAGACAAGAAATCTGCTGGAACCTGTTTCCTGCATCACTTTCATATTAAATTGCACAAAACTCATCCTGGCCCATCCCTAGATTCCAATGTCTCACTGCTTGGTAGGTTTCGTCTTCCCTTACGTTTAGTAAAAGCTGGGGAGGATGAGATTCACCCACATCATGATGTCAGTGCGCAACAGATAATGTAACCACACCACACCCAGCACAGAGCGTGCGTGTCTCGAAATATACCACACCTGGCTACCAATAATAATAATAATGATACTAAGGTAGTTAATTATCGTACTTCAAGCTTGCGCCAAACACAGCTCCCAGCGATGTGAAATCAATCCATTGGTAATGGACAGCCGAGGTGGAGCAGACAGCAGTTGACCAGTGAGCAGAACCCTGGCTAAGTTCCGAGCTCCAGCTTTGACGATTATCATCTTGGCAACTATTGACTCCGTACTACGGCTGACAATCGCAATCCTCTGAAATAAATAATCGAGATCATTGTGGCTGGCACCAGAAGCCGACGATCTGCTGGGTAAAAAAGACTACAAGGAAAGTTCGGTAATGCATGGACCTCGTTGATTGGCTGAGAGTCGTCTTTGCACTCTTGCTGCTTCGGTTATTGCCCATGCTTTCCTCCGATTCCTCGCATGCAGCTTTCTCCTTGGAATCTCCATCATCATTATTAGGTATTATCAAGACTGACCTGTGGGCTTTCGTCAATTATCAGCGTCTACACTCGGCCGCTTGCCAAATCCGGCTTCTTGAGCCTTGCCATTGGTACCAATCACAACGTAACATTAAGTATGAATCATAGATCCAATGCAAATCATACCCATCTGTTCGAGGCGCGGCGGCAGGCTGTCAAAGAGATGCACTTACTCGTTCACGCTGAATTACGTCCGTGACATTGGTCCACGTCCCTAGGTTCTCTTTGGTACACGAATCAAGGATATCCACTCTTTCAAGCAAAGATGTTCAGCAGGCTATCTGAATTCTGCTTGTCCCTGCGGGGTATGCGCTTGAGAGTATTACCATTTGATGGCCTACCTTAGTTTATGGCTTAGATGGCGGTACCACAATAGGATCCCTCTGGACCTCTCACTGCTCCTAGTCCAATTGATGCTCTCAATTGCAATTAGTGGATCAAATTCACTCTGCTTGCCTCTGCTTGCTACGTTAATGCACAATGTTGACTGCGTTGATCTGAGTTTAAATACATGGTACCTTCCGAGCAGGTTTCCCTGCTGCTACTTTTTTATCTCCTCGTCGCTCCCCTGTTTTGTTTGTATTTTCTTCTTGCCTCCTTCACTGTGTTTCAGTTGATTCCATCCATACACGCTTATCATAATGTTGCGGAGGTTCTCGTCGACCTTCAAGAAGAAGGGGGACCGCGAGTCCAAGCAGAATGGCACTGCACCCAGCAGCAGCAGCAGCGCCGCCGTCGCCAACACCAACAACAACGACAACAAGCGTCACTCCAAAATCCCTGCGGCGCGCAAGTCATCGTCTGATGACGACCGTAATGAGAAGAAGGGCCATTCCGTCTCTCCTTTTGAGAAATACGCATCCGTTCTCCATGCTTCGCGATCTCCCATTCCCAACCAGACTGGGGATGGGGCCTACCTCGAGCAGGAGCATACGACCAGTTTATTGCAGGATGCCAGGCATCTTGGCTTTAAGGATTTCAAGACCCTGAAGGATGTCATCGAGAGCAAACTTCCGGGGGCCAGGTGATAGATGACAAGACCATGTTAATGGAGCGCATCATCCAGGTAAGATGGCCCGCTTATGACACAGGTCGACTGGACCAAAATGCTGAAACTATATTCCTCGACTCGTAGCTGGTCAGCAGGCTTCCTCACAACTCAAAGCATCGCGAGGAGCTGACAAACTCCTTCCTTACGGAGCTGTGGGATTCGCTGCCTCACCCTCCTCTCTCGTGAGTTTGCGAACAACTTCCACACTTGGTGGCGTCTGCTAAGAAATAATAATCAGATATATGGGAGATGACTATGCCTATCGCTCTGCCGATGGTTCCAACAATAACCCTACGCTCCCGTGGCTCGGAGCTGCGAACACCCCATATGCTCGGACGATCGCCCCATTGATCATTCAGCCTGGTGGATTGCCTGACCCTGGCTTAGTTTTTGACACGCTCTTCGCTCGTCAGACCTTCAAGCCGCATCCAAACAACGTGTCCAGTGTTTTCTTTGACTGGGCATCCCTCATTATCCATGGTAAGATTCTCGAGACATCACGAGGTCGGTGAAAGATTCTAATGAGCAAACAGATATCTTCCAGACCGACTACAAAAACCCCAACGTGAACAAGACTTCTGGTTATCTGGACCTCTCCATCTTGTATGGTGACGTTCAGGAGGAGCAGAACCTGATCCGGACGTTTAAGGACGGGAAATTGAAGCCCGACAGCTTCTCCGAACCTCGTCTTCAGGCGTTCCCGGCCACGTGCTGTGTCCTGATGGTTATGCTCAACAGGTACGTCTCCAACACTGATGTTTGGGAGCATTCGCTAATTTGAACCGTTACTAGATTCCATAACTATGC